ACCTGCTTTATGCAGCAGCTCAAACAGGTCTCTGTTCTCTTATCATTAGATCATTAGATGCACAGGTTAAAGTGGTCTAATATTTTTAAAGAACACTTTACCATTTTTGGAGTAAGTAATTTGGACACCAAAGTGGTAATCTAAGGATGAAAAGCTGGAGGAAAATCTTCAAAGCCTTAAATTCAACATCATATCCTTGCATTCAGCGCATTTTTTTTTTTTTTTTTTTTTTATCTATTTAGGAAGGGGCTCTGAAAAATGGCCGCCCTAGTACTAGCTAAAATGGTCTTTCTTCACTACTGAAAAGTTGGGAGGCAGAAGGATGAGAGAGGCATAGCATACCTTTGTGCAACAAGTTTTGGCAGCGGTTCCTCCCTCTCCAATATAGGAATGAACTACAATTAACTGGTTTTCAAATTATCCTTAAGGTATTTCTGGAAAATACAGTGAAATGTCATGTCTCCTCCAACAAAAGGACTAGTGGTCTCCAACGGGAGCAAGCCATCTTCCCAGGAGCACTTTTGTAACACTTTAGAGACTTCCAGGTGTTCTTAGTTTTCCTTGTATTCCAGACAGGATGAATTCTTTTTGCAGGTGTACCTACCACTGGAGGTCACTCATGTACTAATAAACAGTAAAATGCTGGGGGGGGGGGGGGGGGGGGTGCAGGGGTGGAAAACGTAATATAAATTATCCAAAAATTAACTCAACTTGACCTGAAAATTACCTTCAAATAGAAGTGAGTTGGGAAGTATGTTGTGCAGCTATTTCTCAAATTTAGAGTAGAATATATCAAAACTAGCAAGTAAACTAATGATTTTTACTTTTATATATATATATATAAAACAACATTAACAAGCCATGTTTGCTTTGATCTAGCTACAGTGATAATGGAAATGCAGCACTTCTCTTTGCCAAAAAAAAGCAAAAAGAGGAAAAGATAACCACCTCTCAAAATGTTCGTTTAAGTCGCACCAGTGTGACAAGAAATTCCAAACAGAATAACATGTAAGATAGGAGGGGAAAGATTGCATGGGAATTTTCTCACTATGAGATTTCTAATAGAAGAAAAATTGCAAAGAAGAAGTAATAAAACTATTTATTTCACATTACTTGTTTCCTTATCACCACTTTCTCTTAATCCATTTTTATCACTAACTTTCAAACTTCTGACATATCTTTGCTGAAACCGTGAATTGTAGAGAAAATGAACTTGTTAAAATGTTTTCCCTCTTTCTCCTAAACCAAAATTTTAGTATAGAGTTCCTGCTCTGAGGTGAATAATAAGAAAATATAGGTCCTGTTTCAGCAATATAAGTACAACAACACTGATCCCAACTGGACCAAAACCAGCTATTTTACTTCAAAAACAAACTGCTACTGGCTGGCAACTCTCTACCTCAGGATCCAGGCCCATCAACATTCTCACCAATATTGCTTACATATTATCGGGAAAAATTATTTCAAAACAGCTTTATTCACCTGCAGAAGAGGAAAAAACATGTCTTTGGCATTTAGTGTTTGTACAATACTTTGTGCAGCTCTGCATTGCTCTGTACTTTTAACTTAATATTTATATAATGCCATTTGATTCTGGTAGCTTCTAGAGGCCTTCTGCTGTCTCCTGCTGGCTGTTTCCTGATTGACAGGTTCTTGATTTAAAAAGAGCTGCATGTTCAGTAGATAACTATCTGCTGATTAGGGGCTGTTGGACCGTTTTTTGACTGCTGCATAGGGATGCCTATTCAGATGGGAGAAGGGAATGCAGCAAGCAGAAATTTTGGTAATTTGTGTCAGTGATGAGGAAAGGCAAAAACTCTCCAAATGGTGTGAGATTGGTACTGTGCAACACCAGTGTTGATGAGCTACTGGGCCTGACCTCCAGCACCAGTGAAGAAAGTACCCTTGGCATGTCAGTGGTGACATCCCAGACAGGGCTTGGGCAGCGGGATGTTGTGTCTGGGTCTCTCATGGGGCTGTGGGTGATGGGTTCCTTCCTGTGGGAGGTGTGTAGTGGTTCAGGTGCTGTGTGTTCAAGGACATATACCTTAAGTATATGTATACAAATAGATCCAACCAGAGACACAAAAAGGGGCAACTAGGAACTGCCCTGTGTATACATGCAGAACTGTGACATCCTTGGAAAAACTGAAACATGGTGGGAGAGCTCACACAACTGGAGCTCTCCAATGAATGAGGGGCTCATTAGTAAAGACGTAAAGGGAAAATGAGGAGGAGAGTTTTCCTCTATGTGAAGAACCAGCTTGAATGCATGGAGCTCTTCTACGCTACAGACAACACGCTGGTTGAGAACTTCTGGATCAGCGAAGGTATTAAGTGTGGGATAGTGTCGGGAATTTGTTACAGATCCACTTCCTCACCCTGATCATTTGACAGTCTCCTTTAAACACCATGAGGAAGTCCACAAGGTAAACAAGAAACTTGGGACTGAGCTGCAACACACACACACACACACAGAATAGTAGTATACAGGAAGTGGGAGCAAAAACAGACTACAAGGGAAGAAATTAAAACCAGTGCACTGGTGTTAGGAAAGCAAAATTCAGTTTGAGTTCAAACTGGCAAGTTTAGGGCAACAGGAAGAGCTTTTACAGCTACATAAGCAAGAAAAGAAAAAAAAAATGACAAAAACAACAACAAGGAAAATCTAGACCTGTAATTGGTGGTCTAGTGACAGGGGATACAGATGGTGCTGGGAAGGCCAGTGCTGCCTTTGTCTTTGTCTTCATAAGCAAGACCCCCAAGCCTCTGTGACTGGAGGCAGGATTCAAGGAAGAGAACTACCAGTAGTGGGAAAAGATTGAGTTTGCTTCTGCAAATTTGTGAGGACACAGCTTCATGAATCCAGAATAATCCTGTACTGAATTCAACAACAGACCACCTGCTGCATGGAATAAAGATGTTGTGAGACTGCACACTCTGGGGTTGTAAAAGTTTCAGAGATATATATTCCTGACAGGACATAAATGTTTATTCAAAGTATCTCAATTCAGCCTTTTATGAATTAAAATATTGCAGGTTTACCATAATAAATGATTTGTTCTGAAATTTCCTTTTTTTGGCTCTTTGTCTTTAGTTGTATTCAATCACTCTGCTTCCTTTGATTCATCCTCCTTATCCTCTAAACTAGCAGTTTCTGTGGAGATGAAGGAAAGATAGGACATAGAAATGCATCATCATATAAAATATTGGAAAGTAATCCTAGTAACCCAAAACATAATTCTAGGATATGCTGTCTACCTCAGTCCTCCTTCCTCACTGCCTTTCACTGCCAGTACTTGAATTTAACTGTTATACATTGTTTGTCAGCTGCCAGACAAACTTGGTACACACATATTGACTGCCAACCAGACCATATGTAACTCTGGAATAGCCAAAAATTCTCTCCTATTTAGACAATATGATAAGAAACACGGAGCATGAAGGATGAAATTCCCATGTGGAAAAAAATGACAGTAATGGGACAGAGAATACAAGGCTGCAAGAAAACAGATTTTGTTACATCCGCTCTTCACAGTATGCATATTTTTTTCAAATCATTTTCTCTTCCTATAACTTAATCTTGCTAAACATAAAGACAAGGGGAACAATATGTTGCCTAATCAATTATGGATGTAGACCTATGCTGAAAAATGTATAAAATCATCCAACTCTGATTCTAGAAGTAAAGACCTGAAAGGAACTTTGAGAACATCTATCACTTTCCTATGCTTTCATGCATTGGTATCTGGCATCTATGCTGTCTCTGACAGATACATGGATCCATTTGTCCTTTAAGGGAAAAAAAAAAAAAAAAAACACAAAGAAAAAAAAAACACAAACAAACAACAACAAAAAAATCACAAAAAAAACAATGGGGGTACCAGAACTACGTCATTGACTTCATTGTGGAAGATCAGAAAATTACAAGTTCGGTAAAAAAGGTTATTTGAGTCCAAAAGACTTTGAGACAAACCAGGTTCAATGAACTCTTGCCAAATCCAAAGCAGAGCTATGCAGAAAATCTGCATCTGTAAGATGTCAGTCCTACACACCAGATCAGCTAGCTGGCAAGTCTGCCCTGAAGCAGGAGAGCACCTTCAGAGGTTATGGGTGAAAAATGAGAGCAAATAAACTACCAGAATTCCGAGAGCTGACCTAAATGTTTAGTGTATACTTCCAGGCATTTTCACATGGTTTAATAGTCTTTCTGATCCTCATGGATAGTGCTTTGATTTGATTTATTGTAAAATGGACTGTTTACAAATGGATAATTTTATCTTATGTTTTCATACATCAGGTATGTAAGCTTGTAAATGTTAACACAATAAATACCAACAGCACAATTGGGTGGAGGCCTATAGGCTAAATATGAGTAAACATAGATACATTTTTTGGTTGCTTCTTCATAATTTTGTATTTAAAACAAGCTACTGAACTGCCTGCAAGAAAACCTGAGCATCTGAATTCCAAATCTCTTTGGTTTGTAGGAGAAACAAATCAACCACAGACTGTTCAAACCATAATGCATAACAATACCTAAAATTAGTTTCTTCAGATTTGTTTTGCCTGCTTTTTAACTTCAGTTGAGAGAATAAGAATACACAGTTCCATTCATAAGGGAAAAGTTGAATGCTCAAAACCCGCTGAATTTCCCAGGGTCTGAAACCTTCTCTCTCATCTTTGCACAAAAACAAGTTTGTAAATGCAATCACTTACAAACTCAGCTCTGCTAGTGCTGTCAACTGTACGTGCACAGATAATGCTGCACAGAAGTGTCACTTCTAATTTGTACTGTTACAGTATATGATATTGACTACACAAAACCAGTTTTGCTACATCTATAGAGGACTGCCACCCTCCTGAAAGGTAGAGATTCCCATGGCCTCTTCAACTTGATAACAGACCTCTCAGCAGCAACATTATTTCAGCTGACTGACATATATCATTACAAACACTGATTCTAATTGAAGAATGAGCATGCATGCGTTATTCCTCACCTTGATCCTCTTGATCTTTGTCATCTTCTTCCTCTCTTCTTCCCTCATCTTCCCCTCCTCCATCCCTTGCTGGGTTAAAAACTTCACTGGATACTTCATGAAGAGATGGCTCATCATCCCCACCCTCAACAGACACATCATCAGTGACTGGAATATAAGAAATTAGAAATACCGAAGAAAATGAATTTTTACAAATTTACACTCAGCCATTGTTTTCATGCAGTAGCTAATAATTCTGACTGAAGTCTGCTGTATTTACTCACATGAGAAATCCCTCAAAATCTTCTGTAATTATTTATAATGAAGTTTGTATAATAGGCCATGATATAGACTAAAATGATTCACAGGCTTCCCAAGACAGTTGCATCTCATCATGCTATGTGAGATAAAACAGACATATATAGTGCAGCTTATGAACAGACTTGGACATTCCTAACATTCAATATGTGATAAATTATAGGAAGAAAAAACAAAACAAAACAAAAACCTTTCACACCACTTGGTGTTAAACCTGAGAAACACAGTTTCAGGGGACAGTCGGAGCATGGTTTCCAGCTGTCCAGCAGAACAAACCTGCAATTTGTGGCACTGTTTTCTCCTCAGTTACTTCTGCTACTGCTTTTTCTTCCACTGCTTCTGCTGCTGCCTCTAGGGAGGTTTCTCTGGGAGAAGGTGGGGTTTCCCCATGGGGAGTCCAGAGTGTTAATTTGGTAATTTCTGATGCTTTCCATTTTGGTACAATGAGTAATGAGGGCTCTTCCTCTTCCTCTCCTTTATCCTAGAAGACAACATGAAATTCAACATCTTGTCTTACATATATGAAGGGAGTAACTAAGATGATGGTTTTGTATATTAAAACCTCTTTATCTGGTCTCAAAACGGCAACAATATGGCCTTTTAAAGTATTTACAGGTGGAGGAACTTCAGCATCCACAAATCTTGGAACTACACTATGAACCTGAATGCTGTCCGTTGACTATTACTCATGATCAGTGCTTACCAGCTTGCTTTCTTTAAGGCAGAATTTTGTCCCACCCTTAAACAGAATGGCTGGAAAGGACCTATGAACCATGCCTCCTCTTCTGTGCCTGTCTATAGTAAAGCAGTGTCAAATAAGACCTGGTGCTCTGTCTGGTAGATGCGACACTGTCTATCCCACACAGGAACAGAGTGGCAAAACAGCTCTTTCTGCCTCAATTCTTGCTTAGAGAAGCAACCCTGGAATGAATCTAGGAAGCACTAAGGTACTGCACAAAGCCTATGTTTTTGAAATTTGAAGATATTTTTTTTTTATTTCAAAAATCATTATTTATTTTATCCAAATATGAAAGAGTCTTAGTAATGAAATCAATATTTGTGTTGCAAGATTATTTATTTTATTTTTTTTTAAATGGGCTATGTTCTATAATTACTTCAACTAAAGCAGAAGCAAAATTTAATCTTACTTTAGTGACATCACTGTCCCTTGCTTTACACAGTCATTACATAATTCACATGTGAAGGAATTATTGATCCTGAAAGTAAAGATTTTCAGAAGTTGAGTGCTTAACCTTGGGTTCTTAAATTAATGTTTCAACTCCCATAACAATGGCTTAATATTCCAAAATCAGGATGCCCCACAATTCCCAACTGAATTGAGGATACTAGGTACACATCACTTTGGATACTCATATGAATCTGATACTTAATTTGAGGAGCTCTTGCTTTTAGCTTTCCTAAGGAAAGGAAAACAGTATCCATGTATTACAAATCTCTATCACTAATGATAAGATTTTTTATAATTATTATTTTGTCCTTGTCTTAAGAAACAATTGCTGCGATGGAGATTTTTCAAAGAGTGTGTAACGGGAACTAATGTGTCAGACAACAGAGGCAGCAAACTCTAAGCTAAAATGTGGCATATTTTCTTGAAATTAGAACAGTAATATTAAGATATGCTTCTTCTTTCTATAGCTATTTTGAACCATATTAATCAGAAATGGTTCAAAACATTCATATGTGAAGAAGAAGGAAAAACAGGCCCTGATCTCAGCTGCTCCCTAAGATTATTAAGAGCTGTGGGTAGTGAGGTCCTAACAGGACCAGGACAACAATGTGACATGTTTCCAAAATGGAAATATGCTGGAAATTACCATTTGTATGCACAGCATCAAGAAATTCAAAAATAGAAGAAGAAATATTTTTCATGGTTTTCTGTTATTCAGAACAAATTGGAAATATGGGCTAAATGTACAGACAAATACATCTACATTATTGTGTGGTTTGAAACTTCAGTTGTTTTGGGAAGGTCCTGATTCTTATAAACTTTAAGCAGAAAAGACTCTGGTCTGGAAGTAGTGCAAAAAATCACACCTTGTACATGTCAAAGCTTACATGGTAGAGAAGTTAAAGAAAAAGCAAAATAAAACCTTATTTAGTTGTTAAGAATGCATCAGTTTCTACCCTTTTTTGACTGGTTATATTTTCAGATGGAGGAACTTCAGCATCCACAAATCTTGGAAGAGAACTACACTATGAACCTGGATGAAGTTGGTTGACTAACGATCAGTGCTTGCCAGCTTGCTTTCTTTAAAGCAAAATTTTGTCTATAAGTGTCTATAAGGCATTTTTTAGATTACTCAACAATAGATTTGATTTGCTGAGTTCTCTGATATTCAGTATAATTTGCAGTATTTCTTTTACCTGCTCTGATTGTATGTATTCACCATGCTGTTCACATCCACTATCAAAGACATATTTGCCACGACCTACAGGCTGCACAAAGATACAAAAAAGTCAGCAGAACTATAAAGCTAGTACAGTCTAAGCATACAAATATAAAATATGCTTTACTACAAAATTCGTACAATAGTCAATAACAACGTGGTTTGAAAGCAAGGTTGCAGAAAAAATTGGCATTCTGTCCTACAGATTAATTCAGTTTCATATGATACACTTTTGGTACAAGAAATATTACAAAAGATCAGGAGCCTAGCTTCTTATTTTAAGTGGAAACAGATCATATTAAGTCAATCCAATGCTAACTGTTCAGATGAATAGAGAGTTTTCCAGCACACTTACATTTCCATTCAAAAACTTTCCCTTAAATCTATGGTTTAGGTGGACAAGTTCAGCTTCTCCTTCCTGGTTTCCATTTACCCAACCACCAACATACTTAGATCCTGTGTCTTTATAGACATATGTACCTTGCCCGTGCCTAAAGAGAAAATAATAATATTGCTTTATATTACTGAATAAGTATTTAAGATGTTGTTATACTTAAGGTATTAAAATTGTATTATTTAAGTAGTTAAAATTACTCAAGTTGGACTAAATTCCCAAGGTCATCCAGTAGTACTTGCTTTGCTGCAGACAGCCATTCTTTGAAAATAATTTTTGCATTTTAATGACATTGGGTGATTTGAAACAACACTGAAAAAATGAAACAAACCTATTGTGGTTAAACCATTCGCCAGTATAGGTGTCTCCATTTGCATACGTATACTCTCCATAGCCATGTCTCTGGTCGTTCACCCACTCTCCTTTAATTAGAATACCATAAAAACAGTGAGAAATGGTTTATTTCATTGTGTGATATAGTGATCAGTTTGTAAAGTTATCAAAGATTATTAGAGAAGGAAACGAAAGCTATGACACCATTGTCATTCCTTACACCATTCCTCACTCTAAGCCCTTGCTCTTTTTTCTTCTGCCTGTCCCTGTCTACATATATTTACGCATTTGTCTGTTCTCCCTTTCATTTTGTCCATCACAGTCTGCCTCCATTATCGCTCTCCATTATCATTATGAACACAAGAAGCTATGTAACATCCTGCTCCTACCTTTAAATTTAGTAATGTATTACAGTTGCATTAGATAATGTGACATTTCCATTCAAACAAAAAGAGGGATTACTTAAGTTTGACTCATTTGCTAAAATTGTCCTGTCAGTCATGGGGCATATATACTCAAAAGGATGTTATTCTATTCAAACTTAAAAGAAATATTAAAAAAAAAAAAAAAAAAAAACAACAAACAAACAAACAAAAAAAAAAACACAAAAATCCCCCAAACCACAGGTGCATATGCTCCCATAAGGCAAAACTGAGTCGCTCTTTTTGCTCTCTGCTTCTAGAACTCACAATATGAATGTTCTTTCTTGCCTAGCTCAGAAAGGAGGGGGTGAAATACTGGCCCTTGAAGCCTAACTGATATTCAGAGCATTTTGGGTACTCTCCTGGAAGAAGGGAAACAATGTAAGTTTCAATTTATTCAAACTTCAGAGACATCCCAATCCCCGAGTAAGCAAGTGCTCTAATCAGTAGACTATTTTTTAAAAATGGGTCTAATAAAGTCCTAAAGTTCTTTATACTAAAGAACATCTGTGGTTCTAATCATCATTCAGTAACTATACTCTCTTTTACAAAGATTACACTGATTTGTAAAAGATACTTCATATTTCTCAGGACTCGAAACACCCCATTTGAAAGGAGGACATGACAAGAATAAACTGCTACTAAATACCACACTTCTCGGAGTAGTCAACATAAAACCCCACAAATAAACCCCACACTTCTCAAAGCTTGTAGTAAAAAAAGGAATAAAAGGAAAGCATTCCATAGCAAATTTATCTTCTTAAAATAATACATTCTCAATTCTCTATCTCCTTTCATTCAGGGGGTCGTGGAGGCGGGGCAATGTTAGGAGGGAATGTGTCCTTTCAGTTATAGAAATCCTTGCAACTGTGTTGACTGTTTTACCTTCATATTTTGATCCATCTGGATAAAAAAAAATGCCCTGGCCATGCTTTTTGTTTTGCAGATATTGTCCAGTGTAGTAAGCACCATTCTTAAATCTGTAGGTCCCCTGAAACATATTTGGTATAGAAAAAATACTTGTCAGTTTTCACTCTTGTTTCAATATAGTGCCAAAACTAACAGAAGTGCTGAAACATAAGCACTACCACTTTCTTCTGTCACTGTCTTACCAGTCCACTTCTGAGACCACGTTCATATTCTCCATCATATGTATCACCATTGGGTAGCCGTGCTTTTCCAAGTCCGTGTCGCTCGCCTTCTGCATTGCGTTCACCTTCATACTCCTGATCAAATATGAAAAAAAAAAAAAAAAAAAAAAAAAAAAAGTTTAGTAAGGGTAGACCTAACTGAATAGACAGAGGCAAACAGGTGTTTGCTCAAAGCTGCTCCAGTTCAGCTTGAATCAGAGGCTGCAGGAGAACCTGGCGGACAGACGCGCTGCTTATGCAGACACTTCCATCAGACCCGGGCACCCCGGGGCTTTCCTCCCTCCCGGACACGCTGCTGGCAAGTATGGATGACTTGTTTTCACCCGGTGGGGAACGTTAGGCAGGTCCCAACTGCAACGGGGCTCCCCCAGGCTAGGCACGGCCGGCGACACGGGTGTTTCAGACCCCGTGGGCTGGTAACGTTCGCTCTTCCCTTCCCCGCTGGCGCTCTCCCAGCCCCCGCCCGTGGGCCGCGTCCCGCCCCGCTCCTCCACAGCGCCCTCGGCCGCGGGCGCTCCCCGCGGGGACGGGCCCCTCGCCGCGGCGGGGCCGCCTCTGCCCGTGCTGCCGAGCCGCCAGCGGCACCCCCGACCGCCCCGCCGGACCCCTAAATCGGCCTCGGCCTCCTCGGTCTCCTCCGAGCTCAGGTCCGACATGGCCGCGGCGTCGCCGTCACCTTAGCAACGAAGGCGGGCGGGGCGCGCCGCCGCCGCTTGCTGCCATGGCAACGCGCGGCGCGGGGCGGCCCGGGGGCTCGCGCTGCTGTCCCGGGTGCTGAGAGCAACGGCCCCGCCCCGCCCCGCCCTCTCGCCGCTGAGGGGAAGCGGCGTTACCGGCCGCCGGGGCCTCCCGGGCTGGCTGGTGGCTGCGGGGCGCGGAAGCCCTGGGAGGGCGGCGGCAGCCGGCTGAGGACTGGGGTGTTACCGAAGGCTCGCCGGGGGTGTGGGTCGCCGCCTCGCCCCGGCACTGCTCTCCTTGCTGCTTCTGGCGCTCAGCTTTTCCCCGACCTGTCCCATAAGTGCCATGGAACAGGCTGGTGGGGTTTGAGATGTGACCTGAGACCCCTCAGCCTTCTGAGAGCTCCCAGTAGTTTGGCAGGTTTGGCCTGTGGACGCTGTAGGTTTTAAAACCACACCTGCATCTGGATCTTATCTTTTTAGTTTATATCTTATGGTTTCAGCCTGATGAGCTGTCTCATTCACCTGCTCAACAGACCAGACACATTCTCCCCGCGCAGCCTGGTGAATCCCACTGGAAATTCAGGACACTCCTTACATTGGAACCAGGCAGCCAACAGCATTCAGCTCCCGTCTGTGAAATCCCACAGGACTTCCACAGCTGGCTTGACGGTGCATGTCCAGTGGCGCAGTTGGAGACAGAGGTCCCACGTGTGCTCAAGAGGCGTCACAGAAATGTGCTTGGGCCATCACCGGCACACCTGGGTGTACTCTTAGCAGCCAGGCTCTGCATTTCAGAGCACTCTGAAGAGATTCCTCTCTTTTCTACACAAAGTGCAGCGGAACAGTCTGTATGGGTAATTTGGGGCTCAGGACAGAGGCAGGGAAATGCTCTGGGGCTAATTACTTCTGGAGATTAGGCACTGGAAGTCATCACATCACTCTGAGATCTGGCCTGGAAAATCCTGTGTTTCTGCATAAATGAATGGAGTGCAAGTTAACCTCTCCCGTTATTTTTTCTAAATTGCACTGAACTGCTGTGATGACAGGGGCATTGGCCAATTCTAGAAAAGTTACTAGAGAGAGAGCAGAATGATGAGTCAGTCACCACTTAAGTATATTCTGCTTTCACACATATTACTTTTACTTCCACTAAATTTTTTTCTCCTCCTTTTAGTAACTATAATTCTCAATGACCTGAACATGTAGGAAATTCTCTGCATTCTGACTTTTCTCCAAACCCTGCTACTTAGTCAGCCTCAGCAGTGATCTACATAGCTCTGATGACAAATTCAGTCACTTCATCCAGTCAAGAGCCTCCCATACTTACATGATTACAGCTAAATCAATGCAGAGAGGCAAGAGAAGAGCTCTCCTTTCTCAAAAGGCAAGAAGGGTAGAAGGGAGTAGTACACAAGGAAACAGAGAGAGGATAGTACATCATAGCCACCCTCGGTCCATATTAATCTGTAATAATACCCTAAACGGGAAAGATCTGCTTTGTATTCTATGTTATATTTTTGTATGTTTCATACGTGAGCTGCAGTATTCAAAACCAATCACTCCTTACAAAAATCTTATTTGCCTCAATGCAAGGTAGTGCTATCTTATTCTTTACAGAGGAAAATGCCCTAAAAATCTACCTTGGCTAGGAGAGTTGATGACAACTGCATTACAGGTCATGCCTGCCTCCTGCGGATGTTGAGGACGGGTTGTCCCGCTGAATGCAAGTGGTACTTTGCTCCTCTGCAAAGCAGCAGCTTCCCAATGCTTGCAGGAGCTGGGCAGGACTTGGGGCCTGCCGCCATACAGAAGTCAGGCAAATCACCTCATTATCACTTTGCACAGTAATTTAATGGCTGAGGTCTCGCAGGAGGATACACGTGAGGATGCGTGTGGTGAAGAGCTGTTCGCTAACTAAGCACTGGGCAGAGCAGGTGACGCTTCTGAGGTAGGCTGCAAAAGGAGTGGCAAGTGGTTGGAAAGTGTGGTGGAGGTCACCTTATACCCTAAGTCAAAGCTTTACCACCCAAACCAGAAGAAAAACAGGGTCCATACAAAGATACGCCATATATTCAGGTAATTTTCTTAGTTTTCACAGGTAGGAAACTAAATAGCCAGTATTTAGGTAATAAATAAATAGCATTTATTTATATAAATAATATTTATTTATTAAGATGTGTCACTTATTTGGTATATGTGGTTTTTTGTTTTCAGTTGGGCAAAGATGAAAAACGAAGAGAACTACTGCTAAATACCATCATGTTCTTAGTTCATAGGAGGTGTTTGGGCTTCTGAGTTAACACTCATTTGCTAATTTTGAGAGTGCTTTGTGTTTGAAACGTTTAAGAACATTGAAATTAAATTTTGTTACCTGGCAGAGCTTTAAGATGCTATACATTTATTAACTCAAAATCGTATGGTTATTTCTCTTTCCTGCATATCCCTAGCATTTGACTATGGATGCCTAATTTGCATAATGGCCATACTGTTAATAAGTAACTGCAGGGTATGCAGACTACTGCTCTGATTGCTTACCTCCTGCAGAACTGGATATGAGTACGCATTTTCTGAAGTATAGTCTGCTCATTTCCTCCTTTCTCACTCTTGATGACACCAAAGTTTCTTCTTTCACCTAAGGGTGGTTAAATTCTTTTATCTGCGATAAGGTAATGTCTCCAATTATAAAGCTGGCTACTTAGTCTGTGAGTGGCATATTAATTCTAAACAGACACTGCGGCTCAGAGTTGTAAGGGAAAATATGTTCGGGATGCATAGAGAGGTGCTCACTGTTAAACTCGATGACAAAAATAACCAGATGGGTCTTTTGGCTTCAAGGCTGACGTGGCCCAGGGAACAGCTGTGACACAAACAGGAAGCAGTGACAAGCTGTCAGAGAGACTCCTCCTGGTGATTGCTAACTGCTCTTGCTCTATGTGTTGTTGCAGAGTTCTGAAGGAGGAAAAGATCTGGAGGAGGAACAGATCACTTTTCTCAGGAAGCAGACAAGAACTATTTCTTTCTAAAATGTAAACTGCTCTGAACCTAGAAGGGGCAGATAGCACAGTCGTCTGTATGTTGGGATCACACAGTTTGATCTAAAGGCACCATTTAAAGTTTTCCATACCTAGAAGCTGTCTTGTGAGGGCAACTACATCTTATATGGATGCATATAATTAATGACAATTAGGATATATTTTGTAGTTTCTGGTCTTCCAGTTGCATTTGGGTGTGTTTCAATGCCAGATTAAAGTTAAGTTTTAAGTATGTTACTATTGAAAGAAGGGCTGTTATCATCATTATTTTCTTGTTCTTTTTCCTTTTCCATCAAAGGACCAACATTATACCATAAATCTTCTTAAGGTCCTGCTGATCTTGTATATAAATTTCATTTGGGAAAAGGTCCAAGAGGGTTAGTGGATGTGCTGATTATCTGCTCTGCTCGTACTGCTGGCTCAGCTGGCAGCTGCCGGCACCGACCGCCGGTCACCCTGGCCGGAGAGGGCAGCAGCTGCCGTAGCTGCGAGCTGCCCTGGGGAAGCTCCTGGTTTGCAGTTTGCAATAGGGAGAGAAAGCTCCAGAGAAACTGCCAGTTGTTGCTGCCAGGGGTGCTTACAAACAGGGAAGGACAGTGACATGGCAAAGTAAAACACTACTAGGCACAGGACCCTGTAAGGTGCCTCCTGTGGGAGAGGACAGCCCCAGATGTCCTTTTACCCTGCTTTGTAGGTCCTCATTTTTAATTTAGCCAGAGAGCTCTTCTGTAGGGAGGAATGGCCAAACGGCACTTTTTAAGGCCCGCACTTTTTAAGACTATACTTCAGAAAATGGCTTTCTTTGGACTTTACCCTGTGGTAGGAGGGGGGAGACTTTTGGCAGTGCAGAGGTTTTACAGGGAAAATGCTGCTGTGCCAAGCCTGGCCTTGGGGGCTCCTTCCAGCACTGACCAAGCTTTGAGAACACACGTTGCACAATGAACATTAGAAATTACAGTACTGTTTTTTTCACCTCTACATTGCAATCAGTATCTCACTTCAAAGGGGTGATAGATATACACCAGGGTGCACACATTACCTCTGACGTGGTAAAGGTGGCATGCTTCTTAATCCATGCCACATTCACATCAGCGTTCCTGCCTTCTAGGAGCTCTCAGCTCTATGCCCCTGCCCTATCATGTATCCTTCTTCCAGGGGCAATGCCTGTGTGAACTAACTTTTCTCCACCCAGCCAGTGATGTGGATCTAGGGAGCTGTCTTTTCAAATTCTGCTGTCAAAATTAATAGGAAAAGTGGAAGTAATTTGCCTGATTCACAGGCTAGTTTCCTCACTTCACATACTGTTCAATCATTACTGACAGAGCAGGTTACTTTGTGAGGGCCAGTGCTTGGGCACTCGAGTCAGTTCGAGTTTTGCTCTGGACTAAATTAGAGATGCAAAGGACCATTTATTGCTTTTGGTAGGGCAGACCTGGGCAAGATTATGTGTTTTGACAGGAATTTAAAGAACAAAAATCTTTAGGGAAATATTTCACTATCTCTTAGAAGATAGTAATTTACACCTTTCTCTTTATGAAAGCTAAAAACACAGTCTAACCTACTGCACAGTCAGTATGAGATACTAGCAAAGTGTAAAGTACAGTTGTCAGGAAAATCTTAATGAAATCAGCTCTATTCCTCCTGAAGCTTAAATATAAACCAAGTTGATTTCATCAGCCTTTTGGAAGAAAACTGTGGGATTAGGGAATTAAAATTATATCTAAAAGGGAGTTCTTATTTGGGAATATACATTTCAAGTCTTTTTATTATTCTGCAATATATACTATCAGAAACAAAGAATTTGAAATATTTTCTTAGATTATGAGAGCATACAGTAGAAAAAGTGGAATTTACTGTCATTAATTCCCATATATCATTTTTTTTCCTCAAATTCAGAATGAAGCCAGATTCTGAAATGTCAAAATCCTTTTCAAAATGGGAACTTCTCTCTGCACAGCTCTTTTTAAGCCCTTTACAGGCAAAATGAAAGCTGCTTAGTATGTTCGTATGCCAAGTAAAGATGGCCTCTTTTTGTGCTCATAATCAAGCCAGAAAAACAAGTAAATGAGATTTCCATCCACTCAGTTTACCACTGCCTTCCCCAACTACAATTAACATTGGGATGTCCTGAAGGAAGGATGATTAGAAAAGTTTGTATGAAAGCCATTCTTGAAATATCAGGAATACTTTTTTGCATCTTGGCTAAATATAACCTTTCAGTTCCCTCCTGCAAAATATCCAAGGGAAGGCATTCTGCTCTATTCATACCCTACCTCCCATTTCTCTGACCTTACTACACATTTTGAAGTACAGAGTGCATTCCATTCTTCAGACACAAGGGAAAATTGTTAAGTTTTTCTTTTACCTAAGGGGTGTCCCTTTCCACTAAAGTGCAATAGGGACATATACAGGTCACTTCTATTCCATTTAGGAAATTGTTGCTAATGGCTTTTCTCAAGACTTTTATGACAGTCAGTGTTACCACTGCTCCCAAGAAAGCAGCTAGCATTCATGGGATAAAAAAAATATCTTACAGTCAGTATAAGAATAAAGCAGTGTTAATATTACATTTTTCTCTACTTTTCTCTGGAAGTGAGTTTTGTTTAATGAACAAACCCTCAAACCTAAGCTTCTTTATTTAGGCATAGCTTGTAATGACATAAAGTTAAAGCAGCCCAATCGTTCTGTCCATATCATCTGAAGTCCTAACCTGGTAACTCAGAATTAATTCAATACAGAAGAATTAAATGATTGAGGTACATGGGACTAATTTCCTGCCTACTCATGCCTGTCAGCTTGAATACCTTCATACTTTGTCATCTTATACATGACTTGAAAGGCAATTGCTCTAGTGTAAGCTCTCTGTTCTGGTCTGCTTTCTATTTTACCATGGTACTTGTAACTGTTGTGCTATTTGCTTTCTATTAAAATATGCCTCAGTCTTCCCTTCTCATATAACTACCCTCCAGTGATTTCTGGAGTTGTTTCTGTAGCCATTTCTTGCACTTTCACTCAGATCTCCAGGAAGTTTAAGAAGAGTAGAGATACGAGCAAAGTAACAAAAGAAATTCTCCCATTTCCTGCTGGAAGTGGAATTAATTTCAGGTACCTCAAAATAGATGTTCTTCTCTTATAATGAAAGATGGTCTATGTATTGTTTTACAGATACCATTCATAATAATACAGCTTGGTTGTGATTTTGTTGGGGGTATTTTTGTTTGGTTGGTTTTTTTTGTTGTTTTGCGGATTTTTTTTGTTTGATTGGTTGGTTGGTTGTTTTTTTGTTTGTTTGCTTGTTTGTTTGTTTTTTTAAATTCTGCAATCTCAGTATATTCTTGTTCATTTTTCTGAAAGCAGGTGGCTTGCAGAAGGTGTGAGAGACAATCTGGGTCTCTAACCAGGCAACCTCCAGCCCAGCGACAGGGGCCACTGACCCCTGTAGCAACAGGTCACCTGCAGCAGCTCTGCCCAGGACTCCCTCCCTCCAGTAGATCCTATCCCAACAGACACCGCTGTTGCTACAACCACTTTTTAAACAGGTCTTTCCTCAGACAGCAGGAGGTGATTTAACAGTCCCACTCTCCTCCCGTCTGGAAAGCCATGGGGAGAGTCAGGGTAGCATGCTGTCAGCACCTCTGATCTCATTTTTCTGAATGGAACAGGAGACTGACAGGCAACTCACAGGGTTCAAAGAAATGTCATTATTCCTAAACGTCTCCTGCAGTTGTAGCAGTATCTGTAGGAGGCCTGGAGGCAGTTTTACTGCCCCTCCCTCTCCATGTTCCACTTGCTATAGAGTTTTTTCTTCATAAGTAACCTTCAGTACTCGGGTACTGTCCTGCTCTGGCTGGGGAAAAGGCTGTGCTGGCACAGTGGTCTTGTCCGCTGGTCTCTTCTAAAGCTGCTGTCTGGTGATTCTCGCTAGCTTTCTGGCAAGCTAGATGTGATGAAAGTACCAGTCTGGAAACTATGTAGTCATATGAGCGTGGCACTGTGCCAGCACTACAATTTCTCATCAGCAGGCAGGACATGCTGTGCTAACTCAGCTAGATAGCTTCCAGACCACAGCTGGCTTACCTCCAGCCCTTTCCGTGTATGGACGCAGCGGGGCTGTACCTGTCTACTCCCATACATACAGGCATAGTTTTCACAGCCTCTTTCTTTTCTGGCTCTTTTGGATATTTATCTTTTTTTCCCGTCTGGCAAAGCTCGATGACAGGTTATATTTGGATTGCACCCAGTGTCGATGTGAATTGCTTATACAATATCCCAGCTGCTCTGTTGGAAAACAAAGCATGTGAAACTAATAAAGGCAACTAAAAGCCATGATTATATCAGTCCTGAGAATCCTGCTACTTGGGTAGAATAAAGTCTAAACAAATATCAACTTTTACCTAGTAAAATAATATTTAACAACCCATTATTATGGAAGGAAGTTATGAACTTTTTTGATCCCCTAAGACAAAGAGATCGCTCAGTGGCTAAACAGATTAGCCTTTTCCATCTGTATAATTAGGAATCATAAAATATATTTGTGCAATTTACTGGAAATAAAATAAGTACATTAATCAGCTAAAGGATGGAATGGTCTGCATTCAGACCTCTATTCAGCCAGCACCACCTATTAGGCAAAGGAAAGACTATGCTGAGACCTGCTGTCTTCAAAGTATTTTGCTATGTCAGGAATTGAGGAGTTAAGAGCACCACTCTAGTTTAGTGGAAGTAAAATTTAACTGTCAACCGGGAATTTAAATTATCTTTCTGAGAGAAGCGTCAGCAGAAGCATACGTAAGCATCTGTTAACTCATACATCTTTACCTCTGTTTGGTTTTGCAGACAAGAACACTCCCTTTTCTATTTCCTCTAGCATGAACATTGCCAGAGGCTTAGACAGCCAAGCTGCTTCCACGCTTGCTACACAATACAACCATTTATTGGACCTTATCCTTCATTTGTACCTCCTTCTAGAAAAGAACTGGCAAAATGTCAGTTCTATTTTTTTTCTGTGAGGCTCTAGATTACATGTAATTTCCAGAGAAATGTTTTGTGTTCTGTTTCGTAACCATTTACTCCTGGCTGTAGACCTCCTTTTATCTCTGAGGGACCTCTGGCCCTCCTTCGATACTCTACACCAGCAGGCTGTTGTGCAACCAGCAGCACAAGCTCATTCTGCTCCTTCACTCTGCCTTCTTACTTATTTGATGGCTTCTGGCAACCGTAGCTGCTGGTGGCCAGCACTGGCATAGCAGAGAAAGCAGCAGTGCCAAGTGTGGCCACCAGCAGGTTTCAGTGATGTTAGAGGAATCGATTATGAGGGACCTTTATTTTAATGGGAGATGCAGTTTCTACTTCAGTAGGAAAAATATCAGGGGTTTCTGTGGCTGTTTGGCTCGTGCTTTTTGCAAGTGCTTGTAACTGAAGATAGAAAGATACTCAAGCAAGGTTCAATTCTTTAAGGAACTTCAAAAGGGCCAAGCCAGCATCAGTTTAAAAAATATGAGGATCCCACATGATGATGACAGTTGTGATAATTTGGGATGGCTAATCATGTATACAGACAAATATACTGTGATGGGTCTGACCTTTCCTGCTGTAAAGAGACAAATCTTCATTTCTCTGTGTGTGTGCCAGTCAGAACAGGCGGTGCCTGGGTGTCTTCCCCTGCTGGTGCAAAAGTGCAGCCACACGATTCATGCAAATCTCTGTTCTTGGAGGAGCATTCCCTGACTTCGTCTCTGCAAAATGGTTGTTACAGCAGAAATTACAAACATCAACATACATAGATGCTCTGCTCTGGCTGTACCCCACCTGTATCTGATGTTAGTGTGTGCTTTTCCACCCCAGAGAATAAATGCCCTCTCTGTAAGACAATGGCACTTCCATGATGTACCTTCTCAGAAGAATGAAGGGGCTTGAAGTATTTCCTCCTCCAGTTCATGCACCATCATACAGGGGACAGTAAACGTGGAGAGCTAGAGCAGCTCAGAGCCTGTTTATGCTCCACCTCCAAGTGTTAGGAGTCTGCTAAACTTAGCCCTATTGCGCAGGGCATCCGCCATTTCAGCTGAGCTGGTGAGGGTTTGGGGCAGATCATTTTTCTTTTGAGTTCACAAGGCGCATGGGACCATATTGTCAAAAAGCAACTGCACACTGTCCCTTCCCCGGGAGACTGGATGAATCTGTGGTATGTCTTATACTGCAGGATAGTTCCATAAAAGCTGTGCTAATGCAAGACCTTCTGATGCTGAGTAGCGGCTTTTGCTTTTATCTGTGAACCAAAATCATCTCCTTAGAACATAAGATTGATGGTAATCAAGAGCACTGCATTAGCTTTCCAAATAGGAACTTTGTAGCATTTAGGGAGATGAGATGAAGACTTTTTTTAACCTCTGAGTCACTAGTTACAAATCTCAGCTAAAAGGGTGTGAGTCTGAGGAGGAATGAACGTCTGTCAGTGACAAGCTCAAAAGCAGCAGATTGTGCAACATGCAATGGTCTGGGTGCAACTCTTGAGACCCTGGTTCTACAGACGTTGTTGTAAGGGAGAAGGGCTTGTTTAGTGAAGAAAAAACACCACTGGGATTGTGGAGCAGAGCTGAGCCTGTGTTTAAGCATTTGAAACATGGGGCCTAAGTAATAGCACACCAGAAGTCAAAGAGTTTACTTTATTGGTATTGACAGCATAGGCAGTGCAAGATGAGAGGGAAGATACAAAATAAAACTGAACATTTTAGCAAGCACCTTAAGTGAGTTTCTTGTGCCAGGCAGCTGATACTCTGCAAGGGACAAACAGTTATACAGATAAATTAAAACCTGCACAAGGTAACTGTTAGCAGCAATTCAGTTTTGGATGAAGTAAGCAGCGTAGGGTTATCCGGACTGGTGAAGTGGTCACAATAAAGAAATACATCTGCAGCTGGAAGTACACATTTATAAGTACCTTAGTTTTGAAATACATACACTCAATAAAAATGAAAATGCACTGCAAGATCAGGAAGCCAGAAAGCAAATAAAATAAATATTTATATTTTAAAGAAGCACCACCGAATTTTCCCATCAGTTTTCAGATGACCTGCTGCGTGATTTCTTAACGTTTGCGGTCTGGCAGCAGAAATACCTTCGCCTATTTAAGGCTGGCAACCGACCGCGCTGCAGCGAAGCGTCTCTGCACACGCACCCTGGGGAGCGCTGAGGCCGCGGGGCCGGCTCCGGGCCGCCTCTCTGGGGCAGCAGGTGGGTCGGCGGGGACGGCAAGCACCACCGGCTCGACGAGCGGCTTGTCCCTCCCCGGCGGGCTGGGGGTGAGGCGGGGCCCCGCCGAGGAGCCGCCGCCGCCCGCTCAGCCCCGCGGCGGCGAGGCCCGGGGAGCCGCGGCCGGCGCGGGAGGCCGGGCCGGGGCAACGCTTCCCCTCGCAGGCTTCACAGACCCTAACGGCGGCGGCCCGGAGCCTCCGCGGGGCGCGCCGCGGCTCCTGCCCGCCCCCGGCGGGGGTGCCCGGCTGCCCGCCGAGCCGAGCCGCGGCGCGGCCCGCCCCGCCGCCGCGGGGCACCCTCTTCCTCCTCCTCCTCCTCCTCCCCGGCGCGGCGGGGAGGAGGGGCCCAGGCAGACGGGCCCCGCCGCGCAGCTCTCCGCGGCCGGGCGGCAATCCGCTAGCCGCGCCCGGCCCGGCTCGGGGCAGGCCAGGCAGGAAGGAGGAAGCTACCGGCGGCCGGAGGGCGAGAGACGCGGCGGCGGGTAGGTTTGGCGGGCGGGGGGCGGCCGTGCACCTGCCGGGCCGGCGGCGGGGGCGGAGCGGGGGCGTCGCCAGCGCTTCCCGCCCGGGCGGCCGCGGCCCCTTCCCTCGCGGGGCCGCTCGGCAGCGGCGGCCCCGGCCCCGGCCCCGGCTCGCCTGCGGCCGGCGTTGGGAAAGGCGGCTGTGGTGCTGCCGGCGCTTCGGCGCTCACCTTCCCGGCCACCGCCCCACCCGCCCCGGCTCTTCGTTTTCTTTCCTTCACCTTTTGTCTTGCTTTCCCCCTTTTATTTCTTCACGGGCGTGGGTTGCTCTGAGACCCCCCTTTCTCTGCCCCAGCCGGCGGAGGAGCTCCACCCGCACGCGGGGAGGATTGTTTTGGGGGTGCCCCTCGGTTCCGTTGGTAGCGGCGGGAGTAGCCGTAGGTTTCTGGCCCTGAGCAGTTGTAACCCAGAGGCAGAGACCAGCCCTCGGCTGGCATCGAGCTGCCTGAAACCTGCCCGTGGGGGGCTCCTGGGGGCCACAGCACCCCGTGCCGCTGAGGCAGAGCTGTGTGGCTGCCACCGTCCCCTCGTCCGGCTCCTGGCCTGGGGCCGCGGGGTGAGGGTGTGCTGGCTCTGGCCTGGGCTCGGCATTTATGGGGGGCAGGGGGCTGCCCTGGCTTCTGCTGGGTCACCCTCCTGTTGTGGTAGCTCCCAGTGCGGTGTGGGTCCTGGGATGCATGCGTGGATTCACTGTGTATTCACAAGGACTATCGTCTCCTGTTGTTAAGCCAGGATTAACTGTTTTCCACCTTCTGTCTTAAATGGAAGAATATGGTCATTTAAGGGTCCAAAGCTGATGGATTTGGCAGTTTATGGCGCAGAGGCAGAGCTGTGGGCCATTAAGCACAATATGTATTGGGTCTGCATGTGACTAAAGGCCTTTTGAGTCCTTAAGGACACCCTGGTGAGGACTTGCCTTACCCACCGTCTCTGCATACACAGAATTAATGTCAGCCCTCCAGGGGAGCGGGGCACACCGGGGCAGGGGCCGGGCAGGAGCTTCGCTCTGTCTCCCCAGCGCGCAGCACAGCTGAGCCAAGGTTTGCAGTATTTGCAGTGGTAAAGGCCGGTCATGAATGACGGTATTTTCCTGAAACAAGGAGGGAGCTATGTTTCAGCCAGTACAGCGGCAAGTCTGAAGAAGCAATACAAAGTTTGGAAGGTAAATACAGATTCAAAGTAAGTACTAGAATATTGCTTTATACGTTGCAGTACCACAAGGAGGAAGCGAAAGTATTTGATTTCGCTGTCAGGTAAAATGGTTGCTGAAAATGAAAGAAACTGGTTTGAGTGATTGAATTGGAGTTTGTCCTTAGGCTTTATTAGTAAAATAGAAATATAAAGGATATACTGGTAAACTACCAGTTATGTGTTGTAGCCTGTCAATGTAATTTCTGAAGAATAGCTTGGTTTTTAAATCTGGTTTAATCTACAGCAGGATGCAATCTTTATAACCTGTTACCACATATTTCTTTGCTTTTGTGGCCAGCAAAGCACATGAATGTCAGAGGAACTTACGGATATATGGGGACAGAGCTTATTAAAAGCACATGGATATACGGGGACAGAGTTTATTACAAGCACATGAATGTCAAAGGAACTTATGGATATATGGGGACAGAGATAAGTTGTTGACAAGTAAATGAGAACTCGGGTCTCTCTGCCTGCAGTAAATAAAATGAAATCAGCCCCTGTGAAATAGAGTTAGGGTGCAGTTCTGTAAACGCTGCTGATAGACCAGTCGTCATTGCTAGGGTCTTGTGACTCTGGATTTGTGGCAAGGATACGCTGTTAGGAGGTGGTGTGTGTATGTATGATCTGTGCAGCAGGTGCACACATAAGCAACCTTGTGTGACCACTTAGCATTGAAACCTTTTGTAAGATGCCTGAAGTCATCTTCTGCTTACGCTAAAGCTGTTAAATAGTAACCTGTTAAAGAATTACTTTTCTATGGTGACAGTTGCCTTGTCTCATTATATTTTAAGGGAACTGTTGAAAGAGGTTTTTGACTTCAGTTTTTTTCCCCATGGACATTTCTGTTACCTCACTTAGTGTGGTCAGTTAAATAGAGTTTCGGTGTTTGGGATAACTCTGAGAGAGGGGAAGTGGAGTTTGGGATCACCCCAAAATAGATCTGTTACTGTTGGAAGAAAAATTAACTCATACTCTGGGCTGCTTGTGCCCACCTCTTTTTCTTCTTATCTTTCCTCTCCCAATGGAGCTATCAGCAGCTCATTTCAACCAAACACAAAATCACTGACAAGCAGTTGTTGGTTTGAACTTCGAGTTCAGCTGACCTAACTAGCTAGCTGTGGCTATAAGGGGCAGTCCCACCTTCAGTCCCTGCTTTTATGCTCCTGCTGCTTCGGATTCATCCTATGTAGCAGTTTTGTGACCACAGAGTGAGTTAATATTCTCTATTGGATCAGCTTTTTTTTCAGGGCAGGTTTTCTGATGGATCATCAGCCACCTGAATCATCGCTGTAGGACTACAAGGCCTGACTGTAAGGTCTGATGCATCAGGAGGCAGGGACCTGCAGCTGGGGGTGGGAGAGAGGAGGAGGGTGTAGGATTGCACTTTCCCTAACCTCTGCAACCTCAGAGAGGAGGCAGGAAACTCATGTTGGGTGGGAATGATGGTGGGGTTTGCTGATGAATTGCACAACTAGTTATCCGATTCGAGGAGGGGGGAGGAGGAGGTGGAACATGCCAAGCAAGATTAGCAAGTCAATTCAGGTTTAGGGGTGGGGAGGTGTCAAGCTGAACCAGGACACCGAAAAAAATAAAGGTATGACAAAAATGTGTTAGCATAAAGGAGCAGACCCTTGATCTTTTGATGGGATACTCTGTTACATGAAGAGGTGGTAGTTTTCCTCCATTCCTGGGGAAAAAGCCTCTGTCAGTAGTGAAGCTTTCAAGTTGCCAGCTTTGACACAGTAGATACTGTTTAGTGTTGCCATTCAGCTGGCTGAGGAGGAGTAGTTTTAATTTCTGTTGTAAGATGGGGCAATGAAGATGAGAGGAGAGGGGCTCAAACCTTTGTCTGCCCTGTGGGAACCTCTAAAATTCCCAGGTTAAGTCAAACCCTTGGTCTCGGCAGGTGTGTTTTCTTCAAAGGAGATTTTTGCTTTAGCTCAGCTCCTGTTTACCTGAAGAGCTTGTCCTCTGTCCTACCAGCTTCCCATCAGGAGCATGGCAGTGGCTGGTGCTGGTGTTAAACCCACTAGCTGGGTTGCTGGGGGGACAGGGGTTGTGTTGCAGACCCTGGTATGTTACTTGGCACCCAGCTGGGGTGGCTCTGCTGCAAGCACACAGGGAGGCTCAGTTTGCATGCATGACTTGCAGTCACACCTTTTGCCTACAGTGCCTTTTGTCACTTCACTCAACAGCTGGCTCAGACTTGCTGCAAAATAACAGTGCAGCTAGTTCCTCTTGTGGTACCTGTGGTGAAGGGTACCAAGCATCTTTTTCTGTTGAGGGGCTCTAGCCCAAATTTGAACAAGAGGAATTCTACAAGATTTTAAACCAAACTGAATTAATTGATGCTGCCGCAATGTCGCTCTTCCCAGCGTGTTATGTATGCATGTGAGTCTCCCTTCTCCCTTGTGCTGAATGAGCTGGTGTAGGAAGCTCAAGTGGTGAAAACTTTGTTTTTTTTTTTTTCTTTTTCAAGTTTTCTGATGATGTGGTGCTTTGTGCAGCACTGTTACTGGGACAGGGAAATTGGACTGGAAGAGACAGTGCTGGTCAAAGTCTTGCTGGCAGCATTGTTCAGCAGCACCCACTCTGAAGTTGGAGGAGTCTCTGTTCTGGGCTGAAAACAGTACAGTTGTTTTTGAACAAATTTCAACCTCGTTTACGTTTCTGATGTGTTAAAATAGATCTTTGTAAGGTGGGCTGATGCCTGTTCGTAGTCCTTCTGGGATTAAAGAAGAGTGTTTTGTTGTCAGCTGGCTTTGGATCACGTTCTAACTTAATTTTTCCTTGTGTCCTCACTGCTTTATCCTATGCTGACTTCTCAAAATATATTATACATGATAGAATTCAGAAAAGGCAGTGATTTATATTGGCTTAGAATTCTCCATCAGATTTTTGATGTCTAGAAGGTTGATTACAGTAACTACTTGTCTCAGAAATAGGTAATTGCTGATTCAGATGTTGTGATTGGAAAATATCGTAGTAATTTGATAAGAATATTTACTTAGCTTCTCTTATTTGAAGAACAGCAATTAACAACGGCAGAGTGAAGAATTTGCCACGTTGTGACTGAAGGTATAAGAAAAAAAACCCTACAGGGAGATCAAATCGGCAGCATATCTTCCACGTTTGTTAACAGCCTACCATTGCATGGCTTTGGGAGAACCTTGGTTACGCATTCTGAAGAACAGATACCATCACGAGTACGTAACTGTGTTGCCTAAAATTTGATACCAGCTGTAGAGTAGATGGCTCAGCTTCCTCCTGGGATTCGCTTCATCACTTCATTTTCACGAGATCAGTGGTAAGTCTTGAAGTATGGTGTTGATTTTTGTCTTGGACAATATGAATATGTATCTGAGGAAGATGATATTGTTACCTTGCTCTATTTTTGCTTTTTCATTGCTTAATATGTACAGCAAGAAAATATAGTCAGTTGTATAATAAATATTACTGACATTTAAGAAATGAGATATTTTGTTGGGGGGAATCCAGACAGATTCTTACTAGTCAAGTGTGCTAGAGAATAAAGCCTTTTGTCCTTTGAAGGGATAAATTTCAGAATTTTATTTTCAAATTCTTAGGTGGGGAGGGTGCTTGAGGTTAGATTTCTTTTTTTAACCAGAAGTGTATTTTCTCCCCCATAATTTAATGTGTAATATGGGCTTGTAGAATTACAGTTTTAGTTCCTGCTACTGTAATATTAGAAAAATGAAAACAAACCAAAACAAACAAAACATAAATCAAAACAAAACCAAAACCTCTTTGCTTTAGGAAAACTAATCCTGGAAGTTGGATGGCATCAGTTTTTGTGCTTTCTGAGATAGAATACTGAGTCAATTGTGTGTGAATAACAAAAAGATAACAAACGAAAGACCAAGCACTTCCCATGTGAGCAGTTTTATCTCATGCTTTCTCTAGTAGAGCAGCAAGTACAAAGTCATTGCAGTTTTATCACTTGTGAGGACATTTTCAGTTATGGGGGTGAATAACTCAACTTGTGGGATAACTCACTTTTTTTTTTTTTGTTTAATGTCTCTGTGACTAAGCCAGAACTATAAAACAAGACCCTTGTTATCTAAAAGTTTATAAGGCAGACGATACTTGAAAAAGGTTAATTAAAAATTAGGGATCACAGTAGGCTCTGTGATATCAGATCTTTGTACAGATGTACTTTTATTTACAGATGTTAATTTTAAGATCAAGGCTAGAAGGAGCCAGTAGATACCCTCTGGTCTCTGTATTGTTAAAAGCACAAATCCATAAAGCGGTCTCCTTAAACTGATATATGCTGTAGATAGAGAATAGAATAGATCAGATTGTTACCTTTGTTTCATGCTTGCAGTGACAGGGAGTTTGAGATGACCTTTTAATTCATATGAACTACAGAAAAAGACCCAAGGATGCCAGTGAGGTACAAGGGAAAATTTCCTCCCAATCCCAAAGCTGGTTAATTATGTTCATAAGCTTCAGCTGACAGTATACACAGTCAGAGTCGGTCTCCCGTCCATCTCTAGAAGTGGCTGATTTCTGTTGTTACAGTGGAAGGCAAAAGTAATTCAAAATCCCAAAAGTGTAAGGAAAGAAAGAAGTGATAACCTACGGTAGCCAAACTGACATCCACAGAGCCATCATTTGTCGTAATCATACCAGAAAACTGGATGAGACAGTGAAATGTGAAATCTGATTATCAGTATGTTTAATGTTGAACTGCCTTTTAACAGACCCCGAGGGAAGGCTGTAAACAAGGCAGATCAGCCCTGTGGACTACAGAGCATTGCCCTGCTGTTCTGCCCCTACCTGTGTGCTACCTAGCTCCCTCCCAAAGCCAGATCAGAGCAGACGTTGTAAAGCAGCATAACTGCTAGGGTGGTTCTTCAGGCTGTTGGAGAACATGAAAAAAGTTGTCTTCTGGTATTCCAAGGTTACCAATGATTTGTGTAATATTTTTATGTAATTCAGTGCTAAAAGTAAATCTGAATAAAATGATTTCAAATACGCATTTTTTTTATATTGTAGGTATAGAGCCTTCATTTTCTCTCTCACTTTCTTGTTGTATGCCAGCTTCCATTTGTCAAGGAAACCTATTAGTATAGTTAAGGTAAGCAGGGTTGTGTCCTTGTTTAAACATCCTTCTACTCCTGTCAAACACGGAAGTAGTCGTCTTTTTCAGTACTTCCTTTTGTGAAAGGCGGTGTTAAACTTTAACTTGGAATGGTTTAAATGATGTAAAGCTGATAAAGCTAGTACACAGTAACAATTACTTGATAACCTTCAGTGAGATCATTCCTAGAATATTGCATAGATGTCTAATCTTTGGGTTTAAGACTTGAAACAGCTATGCCTACACTTAATTCATGTGAATTAATCTAATTATAGATATTTAAGAGTTTACAGGTTTACATTCATGTGTTTGAGAAAAGTTGCTCATAACTGATAGGTCAAACGTGATAAAATTCTACTGGCATTTACAAGACTGTTCCAAGTACTGTTGAGTACAGTCATAGTTGTCTGTACACTTGGGACTCTGTTCCCAGTGAAGCTGGTGGCAAAATGTTATCTAATTCTAGGTTTGCTAGTTTAATCTTTGGCCTGTATAACTTGCCAAACACAAAAATCAAATCCCCCAGGGCTGTATTGTATATAACTGATTAACAGTGGGCAAAGTAGCTTGATGTTAGTGAAGGTTTTTGAAAGTCTGCAGTATCAGAAACACCAGTTCACTTATAGCATGTTGTTTCTAACCATGTAATTACTTCAGCCAGAAAAATACCAAGTAATTAATAATGGCTAACAATTTTACTGATTTTAGTGGGCTTGACACAGGTTCTTATAGAGCTGGAATTGTTATTTTTTTGCTGTGTGGGGATTAACAGTCACAAGTGAATTTTGCATTTTCAAATTCCCTTTCTGTATCAGGGAGAGCTGCATAAGCATTGCGCTGCTTCACATGAAGTTGAACTCAGCTCCTACAAAGAATATGCTGTCCAGATTCAGCCTGTCAGAAAGCCATCTAATGTATCTCAATGTGGTTGGGAGCCATTTGGTAAGGGTTGGCTTTTTTGGTTTTGATTTTTTCTTTCTTAGTAATGGGGTGATGCTCATAATTAGATTATTTGCCTCTTGCTGTTTCTTCTTCATGTGTGCAGGGATTCAGGAGATGAGTATGTGAGAGGTGCTTCCTTTTCCATGTCCTCATTGATTTTTCCAAAGAAGGCTTAGTTGTCTTGCCTATTTAAAGTCACTTAAACAACTGGCATTATTTTACTTGTTACAGCTATGGGATGTCTTGAGTAGAGCAGTTCTCAGTCAAAAAAAGGGATTTGTCTTCAGAATGTCTATTGAGGGGGAAAAAAAGGGTGAAGAATAAAATAAATCATAATTTCCTGCTGTTTTAATTCATGGTCTAGCAATAATTTAAATTAAATTACTTGGTGTTTATCTAAACTATAACTTTCCAGAGTCCTTATCTGCCAAAAGGAATAGTTTTCTCCCCATTTCAATGGAGAAAAATGGGAGACTATTGCAGAATAGAGCTGACAGCTTACTGAATAGCTTATGAACCTGGCCTTTCACTGAAATAGAAAAAAATATTTGCCTACTTACAATTAAATTTGAATTTTATTGATTTGAATTTAATAGAGATTTTGAATCATTCCTTGACACTTTTATCACCACCAAAGGCATCAACAAAGTCAAATAGTCCATCCTGTCAATGTGCCAGTCCAGTCTATCTAGCCATCCAGTCTAGTTATTCTTTAATTAACAATTTAAAAAGAGTGTTACTTTCTTCAAAGATAATTAAAGATCTGAGCTGTGGGTTTTCTCTGGACAAAATTCTGTGTATTAACTGCCAGCTGCAAGGTAATCAGTCTACTGAAGTTACTTAGTACCACAGGTTACCAAATGTATTGGGATGCAGTTAAACTTGGTTGATGTTTCTTGTCCCTGGACCAAGGAGAGGCTGAGTTTGCTTGTCTAAAGCACTAGTTAGCTTCTCAATGGAGACTTATGAGCTCCACTGTCCTCCTTTTTCCATGAACACACAGGCTGTTGCAAAGCTACTGCTTTGGGATGGCACTCCAGACTTGTTCTTTCAGCTCTGTTTTTCAGGCAACATAGCTGGCAAGCTGGGATTGACACTGAAAGAAGAAGGAATGTTTTAATAACTGTCACTTTATTTTCAAAGTCAATGGGAATTGTGGCTCTTTGCAAATACACAAACTGTCTTTCTTGGTGTGAGGTCAGGTCTCTTGAGACCAGACTTGGTGTTTCTGTCTGGGTGGAGTCCCTCCTGCTCCCTCCATCCTTGCCTGCAAGCCCCATTTAGTTGTGATTATGGTCATTTGCTGTACAGAGCAGAACCCTGTTTTTTTTTTAAACAAGACTTATAATTCTATGCCTTATTAGTAGTTGGAAAATGAAATGCAAAAGGATTTAATCATTAAAAAAACCCACTATATATATATATATATAAAGCTGATTCCTTAAAGCCTATATGGTGATGGGTGTTTTTTAGTCATTTTGACTGTTAGGAGCTCACACACTTGCAACACATCTTTCCACTTTTAATAAAGTCCGTCAAAGTTTGTGTTTTCTTTTGTCTGAGGACTATAACAAAAGGATACTTTGTAAATAACTATTTTTTTTCTCTTCCTGAATACTGTTTTTTTATAAAGTGGAAATAAGAACGGGCCTACCAGAATTTTCCTAATATGTTACGGGCAAAAGAGTCAGTTGTAGAGGTGTTGTTTTTGGTTAACTAAAACATTTTGCAAAATGCATGTTTAAGTCTAAAAATGCCTATTGAAAATTAAATGTCAGTGTAAATTCACTAACATTTTTCTTGTAATATGTAAAAATGGTTGGGAAGCTACTGGTATGTTTAAACTGATAATTTGTTTTGAAAATTATTCTTAGATAAGAACAACTACAAGCAGTTACTGGGAGCACTGGATTACTCATTTCTGTGTGCATATGCGATTGGAATGTATTTAAGGTAAACCTCACTCTCTTGGAAACCTGCTTTATCATTTACTGTTAATTTATGGGGCTGTACTGTTACTGAGATATTGTCCTTTACTACCATAAAGTTTCTGGTGGAGAGAGTGAGAACTTGGTTGCTGAGCTAAAAACCACACCACCCCGAGTCCCCAGGGGTATCATACCTATTGGTATATAGAAAGCTTCTTACCTGCACCCATCCTGACTGCCTTCTGCAGAAATGCTTTCCAACTCGCAGTCTAGCCTGTCTTTCCTTCATATGGCATATGAAGGAATACATGCTGGAATATATGTCCTCAGACTTTATCAGTCTTCAATTTGCATGTGTAGAGTAAACTGATTGTCCTGGATTTCTCTATGGTCAAAGCACAGAAGCAGACACCTCCAAAAAAATAACACTGAACCCATCTTAAAATGTGCAGTATTAGCTGTTGTTTGGAGATGCTTCTTTGTATTGACTAAAACCAGAACCTTCATGACTAGAATCATTAGTAAGGGAGACAAGTCTCACTTTAAGAGGCTGGAGATGTGTCCCACCTTTTATGGGTGTCATTTGGAAAATGACTCTGTCAGTAAATTTCTTCCGATGTGCTCCAGGTGAGTATCTCCCTGAAAGATGGATGTGCAGATGTCAGCACTTGGCAATTACTCAGCATGAACTCTTTGTTGTTTTTTTCTGTCAAGTGCTAAAAATGGCTTATTTGCTGCTATGAAGGAAAACAGCTGTTACAAGTAAAGTTTCTCCTCAACCAGAATTAAATGACACAAGATATTCTTTATTTGTGAAGGCTTGTGGTATGATCTCATTTTTAACTATTGCCTTTCTTTTTATTTCTTTCCACATTCCAAGTGGAATAATAGGAGAACGGCTACCTATCCGGTACTATTTGACAGTTGGGATGCTTGCTAGCGGATTCTTCACTGCAATGTTTGGATTGGGTTATTTCTATAATATACATAATCTGTGGTTTTACATAATGGCCCAGGTAGGCACAATGTTATGGTGCCATTTAACGTTGTATTATTTTTTTCTGTTGCGAACAGTGATTAGTGGTTGGATGGGAGGATGTAAATGCTGGCATAGGTTGTTGATGACAGGCAGAAATGACAGAGTGGATAGCCCCAGGTTTTATTTTTGAAAAATGTTTTTTTAGTGGAAGAAATCTTTGAAAACAAATTGAAGTGTTTCAGTCTGTGTTAAATCAGTGATCAGATCCTTGCAGGCTTAAATATGGGCAAGTTTTAAAACAAATGTACTTACTTTTTTCAGTCTGCCAAGACCTGAGTGACACATCCTGGCTTTCTCTGCAGGAAAGTTACATTTATACTGCTAATGATGAACAGTCTCCCACACTGGTGTGCCTGAGAACAGGCAGTTTCTGTAACGAGATTCATTGTGTTGTGTGGGATCTTTTGGAGCACTTGTAGATCTAATCAGTGTCACAAGAATATTTCCCATTGACCTAAAAGGGAATTTAGGTCAGGACCAGGATATGGTTAGCACTCCGGACTCGTTTTGGTCACAACTGCACCTTGCACTGCTGCTTTCTTTGTGTTATTGCAGTAGCACTTTCACTGCTGGCACCTTTGCATGGCATTGTGCAACATGGCATGCAGCAATACTAACTTGGATTCTGCAAGCTTTTATAACCATTTCACCAAATCATCCATTTAAACCATGTCACTGCGTCAGCGCTCTTGGCTTACGTGGTTTCCGAGACAGGAGCTGGCTCCTTTAGGGTTAAACTGACTATCTCAGCCAGCTCAGCTGTGATGTGGTCAGTGAATCCTGTAATAGCAAGGGTGGTCTCCCACCACCAGCCTAATTTGGGTGGAGTGAGGTTGTTTCCTTGCATGTTCAAATGCTCATTGTATGTGTGAATTACTGTATTGTGATCTCTGTGTTAATGTGTAATTCTAGATAGGGAGATTTTCAGTAGTTGAGATGAGTTAGGGTTATGATCTGTGCAACACGGAGGCTGAAATAGTTCTTACTTCAGCCTGAATATATAGTAAGTTAAGTTTCTCCTCTCAATTTATTTACAGGTATCAGTTAAAAATGTTAAAGTTAATGTTCAGAGTTATTCAGTCTCCCCTAAACTTTTATTTTTTTCCACTTTGTTTGATTGCAAACATGTTTTGCCATGTGTTCAAACTGAGATAAGTATTATGTTGCTGTTTGAGTGTGGGGAATGCGTTTCTCTGTTCAGTGAAATGTGACTTTTGGTAAGCACGTGATTGGATTATAATCTTTTGTGCTTTAAATCATAAAATAATTGTAGAGAAGTAGGTAGAGGGAAGAATTTCCGCAAAACATTGTAACTTGTTTATTCTTGGAAAAGAATGCTTTCAAAACACCCCACTAAATTTCTAAATTCAGAGCATTTGTGTAGGCTTCCTTTTCCCAATGCCGCACTCGGCAGGAATTGTGTAGGAACCTGACTTATTATGGGGTATGTTTATTTATTACTATTTTTATATACTTTCAGATAGCTAATGGGTTGGTGCAAACTACTGGCTGGCCGAGTGTCGTTACATGTATTGGCAACTGGTTTGGAAAAGGAAGGTAAATAATATGTAATCCACAGTTTTGGAAGTACAAATCAATACATTCTGGGCTGTAATATTATAGTAAATTTAAATATCTTTCTTCAGTGTTTTTTGGGGATGAAACAAGCAGTTAGGTAGATCTCTGAGAGGAGTTTTCTTTGTTACACTGATGAATTTATAAATTCTGTCTCATGTCAAGACAGTGTTCTGTGGTAGCTCTTTAGTCTGATGTTTAATTTTTCAGATTATATATTTCAGAATTGAATTAAGAGTAATTCCTGCAAGTATTAACAGTCTAAAACCACTTTCAATAAAGGTTGTTATTATGCCATTTTAATGTGGATTTTCCTATGTTTTCATTTGTGTTTCAAAGCAGTTGTCAGGGTATAACTCTAAAAGTATCTTTTTGTCTAATGTCTTTTTTTCTAACACACTTACAGAAACTTGAAAATTTAATTAAAAAAAATGTACATATGGCAACAGATTTAACATTTCTTTTTTGTCACTTTCTTTAATTTTTTTTTTTTCCTTAATCCTGCATAGAGATCACTCATAATGTTTATTTTGTCATACCATACAGGAGTTTTCCATAAGTTTTGCAAGAGCTGCATGCTAAATCCATTGTCTCTGATAATGGTTGATGAATCTAGCATATGGTAATGCTTCGGTAGTGCCATCCATTGTAGATACATACCATTGAATGAACACTATTGTCAATTGGTTCAAGAGAAGGACATATGAAAATTAAGTATATGCTTTCTATGTAAAATCATGGGATAATTAAGATGTAGGCTTGAACTAGTTTTCCATAGTCCCTGCAGCCTTCTTGGTGAATGTTACAAAATGCAAAGAATGATAACCACCATGAAATACTGAACAAAACTGGCAAGTTTGTGCAAAACAAGCATGTTTATTCAGGTCTTGCTTTGTTCAAAAGCAACAGCCTTTACTTTTAGGGAGGCCACATAGTGGACTAATGGATAGGGCTCTGGTTTGAATGTCAGTGATCTGGTTCTTGATTTCATTTTGCTATGAATTCTGTGAAACATACGCAGACCTCTTAGATCTTGTCTTCAGCTGAAGGAAAAGATTTGGTTTAGTTCAAATTAGGTTACTCCAGGTAAACTGCTGAGGGCAAGGCAGTTTTCCCATGACTTACAAAAAAAAACCCAAAACTGCTGTCATGACTTCAATCAGATTTTAGTGGTTTGCATTAGCTCAGTTGGAGCTATTCTACAGCGGTTCTGATCTGGGATTTCAAGGAAGACAGCAGTTTATGTCTGTTAGCCAAGCTTGCGCATGTGTTACTTCTACTAGTGCCTAGCAAGTCCAGAACGTGATCAGAAAAATACAGGACTTATTCTGCATATCCTGTACAGGTTGTTTTCTTCTGCATGAGAGGGCTAACATATCCTGAAAGCATCAGATCACTGGTGCAAGGTGTTTGCAGGAGGACTTTCATTCTGAGAAACATCAGAATTAGCATGCACACGCTACACAGAATCTGCATACTTGTTTTTATCAAAGAAACTCCATCCAGAAATATACACGCCCTAGTGGTGCCTTCAAATGCCATTAGAAGCAAGATGAGATCTGTCATGCACAGAGAAGTATTTAGAACACTTCTATTAATATTTAGGTGCCTTGAAATTGCCAGATGAAAGACCACAGCATAAAAAAGTGGTCAGTTAAAGAATAGTAAGATTGAAAATATTTCACTAACACCATAGATGAACAGTCATTTTTTATACAGTTTTCTCAAGATAGTAATGAGTATTGTTGGAATAATAAATATTTGTGGGTTTGTTGTTTTGTTTTTTGTTTTGTTTTGTTTTTTTTAAATGCAGGAGAGGCTTGATCATGGGAATCTGGAATTCTCACACTTCAGTTGGAAATATTTTAGGATCCTTAATTGCTGCTTATTGGGTGTCTACATGCTGGGGTCTCTCCTTCGTGATGCCTGGTGTTATCATTGCTGTGATGGGGATTGTTTGTTTCCTCTTTCTTATTGAACGTAAGTGCTTTAATGGGATAGAACCATGGAGGGCTGATTATGGATGAAGAACACCAGCTGTTTAAGCTAAAAGACTCAGTGCAAAGTGCATTCTTCAACCTATGCCAATACTTAAGAACTTCTTCCTGGAACACTAGGTGGAGAACCTAAAGAGTTTATATGCTCAGACTCTGGCATACCTGAGAGGGTAACACTTCAGAATTCAGTCCACTGTGCTGTCATTAGTTCGCTACGTTTAAAAATTGTTCAAGTGTATCTTAGCAGAATGGCTGCAATGTATGTTCTATGCTACCATTCAACCCATGCAACCCATATCCTGTTCTATGAAATCCAGAAGTCAGCTGATAAGAGCAACTTTTGTCACTTTAAATTAAAAATGAAAAAGAAATGCTCTGTTTTGTCCCTGCATAGACTCAGATATATTACTATGAATGCTTATTTTACTGTAACTGTCCTGTCTCAGGAAGTAAAAAGTTCTGCAGCTATAACTAGAACGCTGTAATGAGCTGGACTGCCAGAATAGCACTTAATATGGTTGCAGGATGCAAAGGGTACCATGGAGCACCCTCTTCTTTTTCTCTAAACTACAGTTACATATTTCTACCAGGAATATTTCTGTGTTTTTTTTCTGTACTGTTGTTTTATTGTCAGTAAATGGCACTACTAGTGTTTGAAGAGATACTCATTATACATGTTTTCACTATTAACTGTGTGGTATTGTATTTCAGATCCTAAAGATATAAGTTGCTCCTGCACACCATCCAGTGTAAGTGAATACTTTTTATATTTTGATTTTTGCTTCCTAATACACGTGTTTATTATGATAGTTCTGGAAATTGGATAACAGCCTGGCACAAAAGGGCCACAGAGATTATAACTGACCCTGTATTTGAGGGATTTGCCGGTCTTCTGTTCTTCCTTGTAAACCAGCAGCTTATTTTCTATCAAAGCAATATGAATCAAGAGGTGAATTAGTTTGTTTTAACTGAAGTTTTTGAATAGATGATTTTACTACAGTAAACCAAGTAAAAACTGTTAATCTTTTTTTTTTTTTTTCTTGAGTTTTCTTACTTTCCTCTGGTCTTCCAGGGCATCTTCAGAGCATTTTGACCAATCTCCTGCTGTTGCCTCCCTTGCCTTAAGTATGGCCTAATGAGATAGCTCCCTACCATATCCTGTGAAGGGTCTCACTGTTTGAGAACCCTGTTTTACGCAGTGCAGAAAGAAAAACAGCCCTTTTCCTGACATAGCATCAATGAACCACACATCTGTGGGCTGGGGGATGGAAGGTGGGGTGTTCCCTTGGCCAGAGGGAAGGACAGTAGGAGCACATGTCTAGGGAAAAGAGGAAGCAAAGGATGGATATGAAGTTGAAGTGAAGAGATTGGAGCAAACAATCAGTCTGTGACAGTGAGTTTAGACATAATGCGGCCATTATTGATCCAAAATTGACATTAATAGAGAGTTGTGAAAAGGAGAGAGAAATAATCTGTGCTTAGTGGTATGGGTCACATCACAAATCAATGCTTTAGTTTTTTTGGCATCACAGAATAATTTAAGTTGGAAGGGCTGGGACCAGTAGACTGTATGGTCCTACCCTCTGCTCGTAGTAGGTCTAAATTTGATGTAGGATCAAATTGCTTAGGGCTTGCCTGTCAAATCTTGAAATCTTCAGGGATACAGTTGCTATTTATACATAGATGTTTGTTTTTTTTTATATACACAGTTTTTAGAATGCATTGATCACATGTTTTAATTGCATCAAGGCAGTGGATCTTGCTATAGTATGAGAGCTTATACTTCAAGGGCTTAAGTTTTGGCAAGGTAGTGAACTTTACTAAGGTGTAAATACACTGTCACGCACACAAACTGTGGAACGCATACTGCCTGGATCACAAGTGAAAATGCTACTCTTGACACAAGGGCTTGAAAATCCATCATCAGAGGTTGACCGCTTAAGGCATTGTTGAAGCAGGATTGAAGTGTGTATGTGCAAATGTGTAAGCTTTCTTGAGGTTCTGAACACTGTGTGCATGCTGCTTTGTGCCATTGTGGCAGCAAAACAAACAAAACTGTTTTTTAAATTGTTTCTAAAAGGGAAGATTTCTCTTTAAGTATTAGTATAAGGTGGTTCAAACACTATTTTGAAAGTGGATTGGATGTGGTTAAGCTCTGGTACCAAGATGTTTGCCCAATGCTTTTGAAACAAAAGTTTGTAAGACATTTTAAACACTCAGAATTAATGTAGAAAGCCATGTCAGTGGTGAAAAGATGTGCCTTCGAAAGCTTTAGCTGCTACATGAGTACATGATTCCTTTCTTGCCTGGGTGTAGCTGTGACTGAAGAGAAGGTAGGCAATCCAAATAGAACCAGAGAAAAATAAAAAAGCAAGGAAATGCAACAAAAAAGAGAGCATTAGGATGACCAGCTGTGTATAACTTCTCATAACAGAACGTCATTTGTAGCCTGGTTGCATTTAAGAGTGTGTTTGCATGATCATTTCTGTTTTGTGTTCCATAAGACTGTGGTGCATGTCTGTCTCTACTGTAACCAAAACCCAGAACGACTTGTTCCTCCAGGCTCTTTCTCCTTTGACTCCCAGGGACCTGTGGGCAATTGGGTCTGACATGTTTTCAAATAGCTCTTTGGAAGAATAGTAGGGGGAAATTGGCAAAGAAGGTCTTAAGTTTTCCCATGTGTGAGGGCAAATCAGGGCTGTTGGGGAAGGTGTTGGAGGGAAGGTCCCAAGGGAATCCCACATGTTTTCCAATGCTAGGGGTTTATACATGGGGATTGTCTGCACATGTACATATAAGTGAATTATACTTTTTAGTTGCAAACCTCACAGGTAAATTGTACAGGGGTGATTGCTGGGTTTTTTTACCACCCCCAATAGTTTCAGATAGATGGCTTTTTACATTTTAAGTCCCCTCTTCTAGAATAGTAACTGAAGACAACTTTTCCAGTCTGTGTCATATATCTTCTTTATCAGTTAATGCGTTTTTTCTCCTCATATGAAGTATTCCTGATAAAGCTTTTGAATACTTCTACTAATGGTCTGTGGAACTCTATTCTTAGTTTGTTGCTGTGAGGTAAGGTGTGCTCACGATGCACTCCATATTTTTAACTTAATTCTCTTTAATTTCTTAAAGGTAGCTTCTGTCAAATATGAGAATATTTTAAGTTACTCTTAGAGACTCCTAACAAAAGACATTTTTTTCCTTCGCTTTTATGTAGTACAGAAATGCTCCCATAAACATTTCAGCTGCTGTTTATAATACCTAGAGCGTGTTTACTGAATTTTCTGTTAAGCTTTATGGAAATAAATGTTTGTTATTTGTTTCACATACACTTTTACTGGAAAGCATAGGTATAGCATTCTGCACAGTATGTTGCTCATATGTCTCAAGGAGCTGGTATGGAAAAATTTGACATTCAATATCTACTTGCTGTGATATTTTAAACAAAAATTTAGTATTTTAGGAGCTTTTTTTCCCCTTGCATTCGCCACCCTTTCTCCCAGTCCCAGAAAAGGACTAGCATTTGACTAAATCTTCTCTAGGTCACCAGCAAGATCACTACTCCAGGCATGGTCTCATTGTGTAGGGATGCATTTGACCTTCTGTTTCCCTGGAAACGTTGCTCCCCAGAGCAAAAGGCATCACTTCTTCCTTCCCTATTCCATATATTCACTTCTGCAGATCCTGTAGGAGGTTTATAAAAGTGCTTCCCCACCTGCCTCGGACCTTTCTCAGATGAAGATTCACCATTGTTTTGGGTAGCTGTATGCAATTCATATTGCTCAAATACCTCTCTTCAGACCTGTGTGGTCTGCAAAGTACAGTAGATTCTAAATCCTTAGTGAACAGGGCTCACAGCTTCTGTTCACAGCAGGGAGGGTATGTTTAGAAGTTAAGGAAATTATTAAGGTAAGAATAGAAGTTCAAAAAGATCTCCTACAAATGCAGATAAGGTAATGACAAATGTCTGACTGTGAAGAAAACTGATAATTGAAGGAAGGTTCATGTGGTAAAGTAGTGTGTTATTACTGGGAACAAAAAATTTCAGCCATGTTGTACAACAGGTAGAGTTTGACAGGGATAAAATGCTATCTGTCCTTTTTACTGTCATGGCAGTGACAACCTGAACAACCTGTGTGTTTTTGCACATAGTTAGAAATGGTTTTGCTAAGACATTAAAGAAACATACACACTTGCTTTGCTCATAGGGCTATAGTAGGTCACTTTAGACAGAGGCTTTGGTTAGGTGCAGGCAGCTCTGCCAACTGGTGCCAAAAGCCAAACGTCATTGTGGCAGAATAAGGCCAGTTAAATTTAAGCACAACTAAAATAAATGCCTACATCAAAGGAAGGACTTAAGGTAGATTTATATTAAGATTTACAGATCAGATTCATCTCTGTGATATTACTATCTAGGATGAATTTAGTCTACTGTTTATTTGCAGTGTGATCGTGAGCCCAGTATTTCTACAGAGTTTGTAGGGGTGAGTAATCTGATTTCACTGAGTTGCCCAGAAGCACAGAGGCAGACACAGAGCCTTGAATTTGCGGTTCTTATTCTTTATTCACCGATTTCTTGTACTTCAAGATGTGCTTCATTTGCTGTATCCATCTTTGCTCTTATTTATGAATCTGAAATTTGTTTCAAGACAAATATTTGAGTATAATAAAGCACTTTTAAATGCTAGCATTGGTGGCTTAATCTATGACTTTCTGAAAGTCTATACCTATGACAAATGCAAGCAAGAAGTCAGTGTACTTTATTAAGCATTGGTGCACTTTCATAATGGAAGAGTAGATTTAATGGCATTTGTGAAATGTGATGATTTAGACCTGGTTTTATTACTTCTTATCATTTCTCCCTGTAGCTTTTTTTTTTTTTGTTGTCGGTAAAAATGCTAGTTGCAGCATGTTCATACAGACCTGTCTTTATGTTCCAGGAGCTTTCTTTAACCTGACTTTGCATCTCCAGGAAACTTAGATCTCTTAAACTCCTGTGGCAAAGTGTTTGTGCATTTAAAAGATACCAGGCTGCAATTTTTATCTTCTGAAAAGGAGAAAGAAGTCTAAGTATTAAATGTGCAGCCTCTCGGTCTAGTCCTTTCCCCCAGACATTTCCTCCTTACCACAGTAAATCTTATTTTTGACAGTCAAATGAAAAAGTCTTTCACTTTTTCTCTGCTGAGCTGCTGAATAAAGATATAGGTGACTTGTCTCTAGATAATGGATTTTCTTCCCCACAGATTATTTTAAATCACTTTTTTTTTTTTGATAAAAGCCTAATTTTCTGTAAGAAAAAAAATAAAAATCTGTTTTATCAGACATTGGAGGGTTGAGTGTTATTTGTTTATTTTGGGGAATGCATACCTAAGACTGCTTGCACCTCAGCTCAGCATTGAGCCGCAGAAATACATTGGTTTATCCTCAGAAGTTTTGTGCCACCTTAGAAGGATTTGGTTGATGAATGGAAGTTTGTCTAAATACTGCAATACATGTCCTTGTATTTTTGTTGGGGAGGAATTACCTAGTGATTCATTTTGAATTAAAATGTTCAGTGAAGATGGGCATTCTTTTTTTATTGGTGGTGTTGGTTTGGGGGGGTGTTATTTGTGGTTTGGTGTTTTGTTTTGGTTTGTTTTGTTTTTTTAATGTGACATCCAGAGTCTGGTTAGACACTTATGCAAACATCTCATCCCTGAGGAATGCACAGTGCCTCCCGTGGTCTTAGCAATATGTTGTCTATACCTGACTGCAAATCTACTTTGAAGCTGTATATTTCATTCAATGGAAAAACCTTAGTGTCCCTAGTAAATCTTCTTAGACCTAGGATCTCAGAATGATGTTTTCCAATGAATGCAGTTTTCGTGTGAACTGATACACTAATGCACTTGTTAATAAGTATAAAAAGCAGGTCCATCTGGGGCCTAAAGTATAAGTTGGTTTCTGTATGGAGCATGCTGGAGGTGCTCAGGCTCTTCATTAACCCTTCTGCTGACAAGACCACAGTCCATTTCTGGGTTAGAAGAATACAGTGAGCATAAGTTAAAGGGATGAACTTTTATCTTAAAGGGATAGGAAAATGAAGAATCAGGGTTTTTCTGAAACAAATCAGCTTCTGTAGCTGCTACTGTGATCATCTGCTTAAGAGAAAAAACAGTTTTCCGTGTAAATGCAAGCTCTGTAGAGGAAAAAGCAGCTAAAGATGTTAAGGATGGCATGACTGTGCTTTGAGTTCAGTATGTTGCTTCTGTATAAAACCAGTGTGAAGTTAGCCTTCAAATAAATTTGTTATTTCATTTTATGTACATTGCCATAAGTCTGCATAAGAACTTTAAAATCCCAAAATACACAGTCATTAAAGATGCTCCATTTGGGGTTATGTTTATGTTACAGTGCACCAAGACTTTTGTTGCAGAGAAATGATTAAAACTAATGTAATCCTTTAAAAAACAAGCAACAAAAGTATGGGGGTGTTTTGTTTTGTTTTTTTTCAGAGTTCTAAAACATTTGTGAATGGTGCATCTCGCTTCAGAGTCCAGATGCCAACCTTAAATGCTAAGGAAACCAGCAAACCTCAGGTAAAACATAACATTTTGTTGTAAAATAGTATAGAAGACTTCTTAAAGCTCATATAGAATATTTACAGTAGAATTACTATTGGTAAATATTGCTCTTCCTTTTATGATGATGAAATGTACTTCCACCTTCATACACAGATGTAACTCTAGATGAGGGAACTTAAGCATTATCTAACATAAGTACTGCAAACCAAGCTGAATAAGATAGCATGCTTACTCAGTTGGTATTATCTTGTGATCTTCATACAATTCTAGCAAAAATATTGCACTGCGAAATATTTTAAAGATAGCCTATTTGAAATCTTTAAACTACTTCTCATTTGTCCCATCCTTGCAGTCTCACTTTTCTCCCTTTTTAATGTAATAGGTGTATGTACTTACAAGATTATACATGGACACTGAGAGTTCTAAATATGAGCAATTATTCACAGAAATCTTGCTTGAAACTTGTAACTGTAAGTTCTGGTAATTCTCACTAGAAACTGAATTCTAGATTTTCCCATTTGTGAGCAGCAAGACATTTTATCTTGTGATGGATACTAGCTGAAAGTTTCCATCTGAAATTTTGTATTTGTATTCAGTACACTTGGCCCATTATATCCTGAGAGGTTAACTTTTTTGTAACTTCTTTAAGACTTACACAGGAAAATAGAAACCTCCTGTTCCTTTCATCCTTTGTCCATACAATAATAATCAGCATACGCAGGGTATAATAATCAGAGTTGATGAAAAGGTTTTGAAATTTTTGCTAAGGAAACACTTTATTCGTAATTTTGATGGCTCCAGCTTAAATCCCTCTCTGTACAGAGTTTATTCATGTTCATTTTGAGCTGCCCAAGGACAGTCTCCAGCATAGAAACCATTTGGCAATATTATTTCATGAGCTGGAATGTAAGGAGAGAAGATACAAGAATATCAGCAGGTATCTTTAGACAAGTCATGAAGACAGATCTAAAATATAGTCAGCAAATTAGTAGACAAAGTTTTCTTTTCTAATTCTGCTAGTACTTCTGCTGTCAGCCTGTGCAAAGAGCCTGCACAGCAAGTGGGCAAGGAAGATGTACCCCCCCCTCTCACTGACTGGTGCTTCCTTGTGAGCAGGACAGAGACACAACATGGACAACAAAGCATGAATGCACTTGCTGGCAATACTGTAATAGTTTTGGGGTTTTTTCTCTCTTCCCCCCTCCTCCACCCTGACAGCTGGGTTATATATTCTTTATATGGAGTCCTAACAGGGTTTAAAAAGAAATTAGTAAAAAATTGAAAATCCTTTTTTGTCACTGTGACCCCATGGTTTTCTGCCAGTGACAGAAGATAATCTTTTTCTTGTCAAAGTGGAGTTGAACATCCTGCCTCTCCTTTTTACAGTTATGCTGAGCTGATTATTCTAGTCAGCTTTTGTGCCTGTACAAACAACAGATCTTTTGCATTTATGAGCTGGTCTCCTCCAAGCACACTGGAATGGCAGCTTTTACCAAATTTTCACTGACCTCTTCAATTACTGTAAAAAGAAAGCAAATATTCAGGATATGCAGTGATTGAAAGCAGAATGTGTTTTTGGCTGCGTGGCCTGAATACCTCTGTGTGTTCACTACTGCTTATGTCAGGTTGGCCTGTTAAAATTACACAAAATTGAGGGATAATGAATCCTTCCCCAGAGATCAAGAGTGTGCCATATGCCTAATCATACTCTATGACAAGCTGGCAAGGCTAAACAATGTTATCTCTGCCACACACAAACTGCTGGTTTTATTTATCATTTAGCTATGTCCAGCATAAAAATCCCATATTGTTGATAAAAGTCTCCAGCATGAGTTGCTAAAGTAAGTTATTTGGACTTTGGTAACTTACACTTCAATATTTAACCCACTCTTCTTAGACAGGCCTAGAGCTACCTGTCTGAGAAATGAGCAGCTTTACCTCAGACAATCCCGGTGAAGTTTGCTGTGCAATCTGTGCAAGAGGTACTCACTTAAGACACTACCTAGAGGTGTCTTCCATTGAATCCAGTGGGGAGCTTTTTTTCTCTCTCTCTCTTTCCCCTCTCTCTTCCCTTCCTCTTTTTTCTCTGTTAAGGACTAATGGTTTGAATTGCTGCTGTTACAATAGTTCAAGTTTTGAAGTTGCTCCAGTAATTCAGAAGAGAATGATGGTGATGGAGTAACTCATGTGCCATAACACAGGTTAACAGTGCCATATCATAGGTCCCTAGATGTTTTTCCTGTCTTCTAGTTAATGCTTCATCAGGGTACAGGGTCTCCTGTAAATCCTGCATCCTATCTACCAGTCCTGTACAAACGTTTTGGATGCTGCATAGTAGCTTCTGAAATTATGCTAAGTGCCCGGGCTCAGAGGCCCAGATGGCTCCCTAGTCTCTTCTCCTAAAATAAGTTCTTTAAAACCAGAATTTATTTAGAATCACTGAGTGTAAAATAGCAGAATTTGTCCAGCACTTGATTATTTTCTTTTTTCTTTCTTCCTCCATCAGTTTAGCAAATATTAATCAGAAAGCTTAATCCTTGTAATAAAACAGCAGGCTATTTCATTTCCAGTAGTTATCCTTACTAACCTACAGCCAAATATATTTTTGAGGCTTAATTCTTCACTAAGGTTTCATTCAAATGCACAAGAATTAGGAGAAAGAAGACAATATGTAGAATACATCCAGCTAGTAAAAGTACGCAGCTAGGTAAACTGATGATAGCTACATCCCATTCTTTTTCTGAGTTGGAAAATAAGTACTTAGGACTATTTATGCCAGAAATTTCTTTTTTTGTTTACAGCTGTAAGATGTAAATTTCCAGTTCTGTTCTGACAGTTCACTTCAGCGTGGTGGATGGATAAAAATAACAAGATATCCTTATGTCTAGACTGGGATAGGCTTGTTCTTGTTGAATGGTAACTTGCTCCACAAGTATTCTTAGCAGCCAGTGGAATTATTAGAGTAAAATCCTTCCTAGTGGTAGAAAATAACTCAGAATTCACAACTTAGGTGATATTGGTAAACTCCAGGCTTTTTGTGGGTTTTACAATTTGTGGTTGCAGTTTGTGGATTGCAATGCTCAAATGAAACAGGCTTGAAAAAATAATTGATTGTTTAACATAAAGCACTCGGTATCCATAATTAAATTGGAAAGATGGCCTATATTTAAATTGATGAATAAGGTGATGTTACAGAGTCTGAAAAGTGGGCTTAATATTTGTACAGGAGGAAGATAATACATGCTTTTATATAGAAATGTGTTTTAGTACTCAGATTGCCAGTTTTAATTAGACCACGTTTACGTAATGGGGTAAGGGAAGACTGGAAATTGTTTTGTTCCATTAAACGGTACTCTAACGTGGTTTTTGCAACTTGAAGTTGTCCCACAGTGGAACAGAAACTTGATTCTGTAATGAAGTGTGTGCACTCAGACGTAAGCAACCAGGCTTGTTTCACCTGATATTCTGTGTTATATACTGTATGCTCTGTCTGTATACTCTGTATATCTAAATCAAGAGACTTTTAAAAACTGTAACTTTCTGTGATAAAACAGATAAATATTTTTAAAAAATATTTTGGAATTATTCGATTCATTGATATGTTTTTGATGCACTGTTCCTTCATTTTTCATATGATGTTGCTGGGGAAAATTGCAGGATCCAGAGATGCAGCATTTGCTTACTGACAGTGAAAATTGCGGTGTGTCACTGAACTCCAGCACTGGGGGCACTGGGGAAGGCAGACATGGGACATCAGCTATCAGCTTCCTTGGGGCCTTGCGGATACCTGTGAGTACATGTGCTATTCTTGCCTGTTTCTCCAAGAATTAAGTTTTGCCTCAGAATTCATATTTCCATAAAGTTCTAGATGGAATAGTAGATTACATTAGCTGTGCATCACAAGTTTTGATCGGCAGCTCTGGTGTATGTAGGCTAAAGCAGATTATGGTACAGAAGACAAGGTGTGCCCCTCTCAGAGAAGGAGTCAAAACCGGTACAAGAGTATTTCCTTCTCCAATAAACAGATGGAATAGGCTCATTGGTTGCACCTTAGAAACTACAAGTATCTAGGCTACAGTACTCATATATAAACTGCCTTTTTTTTTTTTTTTTTTTTAACTAATATTAGAGCAGCCTACAATGTAAGGGTTTGCTGGTCTTAAGTTAATGACACGTGGGTATTAGGGATGGAATAGCAGGCTGAGTCTATAAGCACTTCTTTGCATCAGAACTTCTTCCATGGCTTCCCTTTTACAGTCCTCAACATTGTTTTTAAAAGCTTTAATTTTAAAATATCTTATATGGTTTATATGGAGAAGTTTCAGACAGCCTAAGCATTCAGACTGCTCGTTAAAGAAAAGAAGAAAAGGAAGTTTTCTGTAAGTCAGGGACTATGATCCTTGATTGTTCTCTCAGCTTAAAGCCTAGCAGCTTCAGTAGGTTGCACAAGTAGAATTATATGCACATTGAGTTGGACCGGGTGTAAAAGTAGGGGAGGCAATCTCCAGCACCAAACGGCTGTATTCCTGCATCTTCTCATCCTGTCCAGTCTGGTCCTTTGTCTTAACTGTTTTTCCTGTGGCAAAGTGGAAGTAATGGGTAGCAAAATTGCTACTGCTGCCGCCTGTAATCTCTAACTCTGGTATTTTTCCTGGCTGTTGTTGGGAAGGGTTGCAGCTGTATGTGAAGTACAGCAAGCTGTGTATGTGTGTTATTGTGGTTTGAGCCCAGTCGGCAGCCAAACACCATGCAGCTGCTCACTCCTCTTTCTCCTCCAGTGATGAGAAGGGAAAAATGAGCCAGGCTAGGGATTCGGGATAGGACTGGGAGGGGCAAATAACCCATTATGGTCACAGGCAAAAGGCAGCATTGTTAGGGGAAGAAAAAAAGAACATACATTTATTACAGACACTACCAACAACACTTACCAGAGTAGGACAGTGAGAAGCACTGCCACATCTTGAGAACACCTTCCCCCCACCCCTCCCTTCTTCCAGGGTTCAGCTCTGCTCCTGATATCTCTACCTCCTCCCCCCAGCAGCTCAGGGGCAGGGAATGGGGGGTGCAGTCAGTGCTGTTGCTTCTTCAATCTTTGGTGGGGGGAGCTTCTGGAACTTGTTCCCCCTGGTCCCTCGTGGTCCCCCTCTCACAGGAGACAGTCCTCCACAAACTTTCTCTGACGTGAGTCCCTCCCACAGGCTGCAGCATTTCCTTACACTGCTCTGGTGTGGGACACCAGCTTTCTCCAACTGGAGTCCCTCCCATGGGCTGCAGCCCTTCCTGAGCTGCTCCGGCGTGGGACACCCCCGCACACTGCAATCCTCCCAGCAGTGGGGCTACCTTTTCCTACAAGGCTCCGGCCTTCTTAGGGCACAGACACCTTGATCATCCAGGCAAAACACAGGCCATAAATCAGTGTCTGCTCCACCGTAGATCTCCATGGGTGGCAGGGGGGGGCCGCCCTGCCATCTCACCACAGGATACAGGGGGGTCTCTGCTCCGGCACACCTCCCCCCTCCTTTCTTCCTCCGTTCCTCCACTGACCTTGGTGTTCACGCAGCTGCCACAAGTTCGATTGCTCGTCACCACGTCCCTTCTTAAATACGCTATCACAGAGGTGCAGCTGATTGGCTCACTTTTGGTGCAGAGGTGGAGCTAATTTGGATCTGGGGGAGCTTTGAGAAGCTTCTCTCAGGGGGCCACCCCTATAGCCCCCTCCCCTGTTACCAAAAAACCCCCCACTCACTCATACCCAGGACAGTTGTCCATGCTGATAACTGTACTACTCCATACCAGGAATTTAAGAAATTGCATTTCAAACAAAAATATATTAGATGGCGACGGAAATGAAGATAGGCTAATTTGGCAGTGTGGTTGCAGCTCTGTGCAACAAGTTTACTTTTCATATACCCAGCAGGAAAGAGGGTGGAACAAATTACTATTTTAAATAGGCATATGCCTTGTCTCTAGTGTGCTCTTACCATATACTGGTTTGAACAGTGTCATACTGGTTAAGTGGCTTTTTGTACAGAGTTAAACAACAAGGTAGAAATCTTAGACCCATCTGAAGGAAGGATCTAAAGAAAACAAAAAAATGCCACTTTCTGTGGAATACCCTCCAAATCTGCTGTAATGCGATAGAAAAACTCTTTACATGAGGAAAATAAATGATGTGGGTGTCCCAAACAGTCTCAAATCCTTCCTGTTCATTTTAGTGTTCTCTCTCCCATTAATTCAGTACAATTAAGAGAAAACATGTAAGTAAAAAACCACAGTCTGCTCTGGTTGTAAGCTTTGTGCTCTCAGGGGAAGAATGCTTCTTGGGAATTCTTCAGAGAAAAAAGAAAAGCCTAAGTGCTTCTTAGAAACCATTTTCATAATGATCTTTCGAAGCAAATAGCAGACTCTATCAAGATACTAATGTCTTATTTTCTTTATTCTCTCAGGGAGTCATAGAGTTCTCCCTTTGCCTTCTGTTTGCAAAACTGGTGAGCTATACTTTCCTCTTCTGGCTTCCCCTCTATATCACAAATGTAGGTAAGTATCACAGTAAGGGGATACGGAATTACGACTACAAAGTATCTGGAAATAAGAGCTTGAAGTAAATGAGAAAATAAACATTACTGCTGCTGAAATAAGCCATCTTTGCTACAGTAGCAGGAGAGTATTAAGTCATCAATGTATTTCTCAGTTTTATGAATTCAGTGTTATAAGAGAGCATTTTCAAAACAAGCAAACAAAAAAAGAATCTGGCTTATCTTCAGCAATTCCAGGCGTCAGTGCTGTGTCTGGCTCTTGCAAACCAATCAGAGAGGCTTACTTCCTAATAATGTTTTTACATGATTGAATTGCCCTATTAAAACGTATACAAAAAAATCTAAATGATCTTCTTTATCTGTTCAGTACTGCTTTTTTGTTCTGTGCTGTAGAGTTCAGAGAAAGAAGTTCTCCCTAGCCAGAGAAAGGAGTTCTACCTAGCCAGAGAAATTCATGTTCTTGTGAGCCATGATGTGACTTTTAAACCCCCAGCTAACAGAAAACCTGTGCTGGACAAGTATGGCAGTAACAACCAGCAGAGAGAGACAGGTTGAATACCCTGTGTAAACACATAGAGCTGCAAATCCTATAGCTAAAGGCCGCTGTGTGTGGACTCCAAGTAACAAGTGCTATTGCAGGACTGGGTACCTTGAAAGCAGAGGGCTTTTAATAGAAAGGTTAGTGAAATTTACCACAGTACTGCCATCTGTGCTGTGGCAGATGTTGGAGAGGTTATGGTAGTGCCACTGACCCCACTGTTTTACCACCACATACTGCTCTTTGAAATGTATGTCAGAGACTTTAAAAAAAATACCAAAGGGGTTTAGAAATTCAGCTCCTTTTGAAACGTCACACTTACCACAATAGGACTGGGTTGCCCAACTTCCTGATGTACTTTTGGAAATCTGACCCTGTAGCGTATCAGTAACTACATTAGACTAAATGTAAGTATGTGCAAACAGTAGAGTTAAGGAAATCACTGTCTCTTCATAGTCCCCATGAACTGCACAGTGCGTGTTGTGCCAACCAAGGTTGCCAGATATAATTTAATGATGAATACTCTTGATCGTGTGATGAAGGCCTAGAGGATGAAGCTCTATCAGTGATTCAAATGTACACTGATCATGCTTTAGAGGAAAGAGCCTCACAGGCATTTGTTAACTGTTTATGAATCTGTGGCCATTCACAGTGGGGATATTGTTAGTCCAGACTTTAATAATAAACAGCTCTATTGGTTGGACTATATAGTTAAAGTGGTAAAATGTCCTGCCATTAATCTATTTGCATTTGAAAGACTGTATCTCTGAATGCTCAATTATAATACATTCTTCTTTGTCATATACAATGACAGTTTATGGTAGCCTGTTCCTGTGAACAAACAATACTGCCATGAGATGCCTTTATCCTAGTATTACAAGACTGTGTTGAGATTTCTTTGTTTTCTAATCCGGAAATGAGACAAATGCTGTTCTTCTCTCACTAGAGCATCTTGATGCCAAAAGAGCTGGGGACCTTTCTACACTATTTGATGTGGGTGGAATCATTGGTAAGCTTTATATATTAATATTTCATCTTTAATCAGAGCAGTTTAGGAGAAGCTGTGGTATGCACAGCTTACATATATTATTAATCCTTGCGCTTTATGTCCACAGAAGAAGAGTGACAGTAAAGTTACTAAGTTGAAAGCTGGGTTGGCTGTTGAAAACCTAGCAAAATATCTTTAAATTGAGCAACTCACAGGGCCGGTGATCTTGTCCAGTACAGATTGTAAGAGCCAAATATTATGGAATCTTTTAGATCCATCAGCTCTAGCCTGTGAGTCTTGGTCACGCCACCTGTCAAAATGTCTTCCTTTTGTTGCTCTAATGTAACAGAACTATCCCAGCTTGTACAGTTGTGTATTTTTTGTGGGCAAAGAGGCGAATGGCCACAGATGTGTCGGGTTTTTTTCTTTGATACTTTCTTTTCATATAACCATATATGACAAAACTGTAGAGATTGTAATAGCAGTAACAATGAGAGGTGACCACTGAATACTTAAATTCTTAAGCCAGTGCAGACAGTACAGCTCACAAAAAAACAAGCATCATCATCTTGATGCCCAGCTGATTTGACACACACCTACACACACCCCCATCTCCTCTCCGTCTCCCCAATTCCTTTATGGAAATCAGCCCTGTATCAGTCTCTTGGGAAATGCTGCTCATGATGGAGAAGTTTCACTGGATCAAGAGCTGTATTAGACCCTGGTAGTTTGTCAAGGTGTGTTGCAGTTACTGTTCTAGCCTTGTGCTGGATGTGACTCCTGCCATTTCTCACTGCTTATTTCATCCCAGATAGCTAGAAGCCAGAGTCAGTAGTACTTTAGAGATGTGGATGACTTCTTTCAGCACCACCCTATTCCACTATGAACACAAGCTTAACAATGTGTCAGTGCTGCTTGGACCTTTGGCATTTACATTTAAATTCAGGTGGAATGTGAGCACTTCGGAGATGGGCAGCTGGAAAGGGAGAGGCAGACCCAGCAATATTTAGGAATCTGGAGAATCCAGAGCACTTCCTGACCTTCCCCCTTTACCAAGTTCCCTTTGTATCATTTTGGCAGCTCCTTCCGACAGGCCTTGCAGACCCTCTTGCCACATGCTCCTATTAATACATCCGTGTGCAATCATTGGCAAACACAAGAAGTAAGGAAAATTAAAGAACCTAGAGAGAAAACCAAATATATCATTTGCCCCAAGATCTAGAATAGCTCATTTCTTCTGGTTGCAGTCTGACGTGGACAGAGCACTCAAGAGCCTTTTACTGTCACATGTGAGGAGTTAAGAGACCAGTATGTAGCTGGACACAGCTGGATTCCAGAATGCCAGCAGTGGGGCCATGTGACACCTGGCAAAAAGGCTTTGCATTCAAAAGCAGCAGAATAATGATTTCTAAATATTTCTTCCATCTCTATTCTACCCTACCCCTGTCATGTTGGATATTCGGTTGGAACAGACAATGAGGAAGAACAGCTGTCTGCTTCTGTTACCTTCCAAATGAAAGCCACTTGGGTTAATAACTACATTGTGAAGTGTGAATTATGTTGTTGGTCTCATGCTCTGTGCTGCTGTGTATAAATACATTAAAAGTCATATCCTATTGTTTTAATCTGGGTTGGGTTTTATTAAGTATAACTAATGTGTTTTGTGTAAAACATGCGCAGAGTTTCTTGCTCACACATCTCTCTTCTTTCAGGTGGAATTTTGGCAGGCCTGATTTCAGACAGGCTGGAGAAGAGGGCATCAACCTGCGGAATGATGTTATTGCTTGCAGCACCCACAGTAAGAGTTTGCCCCTCTCTTACAGCTGTGGCTGAAACTGACAGCATTCCTTGGGAAGTTCTGCAGAAAGCATCTTCTAACTTGGATATAAAGAGTTCAGGCCAGGTTAAAAGCTGGTGTGAGAAGTTGGGCATGTAGCAAGTATAGACATTGGGGCTGCCTTTACTGAACAAGCAAACAAATCTAATGTATTGCTTGTTAGAGGATTATATGGAATGTTTATCACTCTTGTAAAATTTGACATTTGATTCTTAGCCAGAATTTTAGCTGCTCAAAGGCTAAAATTTCTGTGCTATAAGTGTTGGAAAACTGTCAGTTGCACGTAAGAGATGCATTTTTCTTTGATTCCTTTGTGAACAGTATTCTGTCCTGTGTTGAAGCTGGCAATTTGAGAGTTTAAAATCGAGTGGTCTCACAACACAGTCCTTTCTTCTGAAAGAACATACTGGGGAATAGGAGCATACCCCTTATCTCCCTCCTGTGTCCAATCAGTCATTCTGCTGTGATCTAAAAGGATATAGTAAAGCCTAGAACTAGCTTTCACATAATACCAACTAAGATATTTTATGGTGAAAATGGGGACCCTAGGATTAATCCGTGTGTTGGTATTCAACATGCTTGTTTTTTTGTCTTTGCAGTTGTACATGTTCTCTGCAGTCAGTAAAATGGGCCTTGAGGCTACTGTAGGTGAGTATTTTTAAATTACTTTTTGCCTGGATTTCTGTGAACTTTTAATTTATGATCCTTTGGTGCTCTTTCCTTTTTTTTATTTTATTTTTTTAATTTTTATTTTATATTTTTTCTGAGAGGAGGAAATATGGAATCAGATTCCCTAGACTTTGTCTTGCAGGCTTTTTATAGGGTAAGGAAGCGAGAGGCTAGGTAGTAAGTAAAGGGTGGCATGTGAAAAGTGATCTAGTTAATATCATTAGTCTTCTTTCTGGAGCTTGTTGTGTCAGCACAGGCTTTATTATATTCCCTATGCCAAATGTCAGAGGTGGTTAAACACTACTTGTATTACTATTGACAGCAATGTTAACTTTACTTGTATAGGCTGAATTCACTTGCGGCTTTCTATTTGTTACCTCAAAAGAGAAGGTGAAATGCAAGTGCTGACAGTAGTGTCTCACCTACCTAAAGACCTTGTTAAATTCTAGGGCCCTCTGGTTCTTGGTGCTATACGAGCAAAGAATGAACTTAGGGGTGGATCCCATGAGCATCCCCTGCTTTTAGGGACAGTTTTGTCAAATTTTCCCCTTTTCTGACCTGCCAGGATCAAGAAGGGCCCTGGGAAGTGCCTTCTGACTCAGCCCCATCTCCTGTTATATTTGCAAATTCCCATCATGGAGTGAGCATTGAAGGGCAATAGGAATGTATGTTGCTCTTTGTCGTGGTGTCGTGTCCTTTCCCAGTTCTGAAGTGGGGCCAGGGAGGAATTGAACCCTTTAAGAAGCATAGGCTATGATGTCTCCTGTTGTTATGGTTAACAGTCTTTCAGGCAACTCACATTTTCCATTTTTGTCAACTTGCAACAGTGATGCTGCTTATCAGTGGTGCCCTGGTGAATGGCCCTTATGCGCTGATCACCACTGCTGTCTCTGCTGACTTGGTGAGTTTGGCTTCCCCTCTGCTTCCAGTGTAGCAGCTTTGGCCTCCAGAGAGAGCCCTTTGACTTCTGCAGGGTTGTCAGTGAAGGGGCTGCACTGTCCCAAAGCAAAGGGGTAAGATGGTGGATAGGCAGTGCTGAACTCAGCCACTGAGGTTGTTTTAGAGTTCGTGTATTGGTATGAATGAGTGCCGTGCTTGTGAGAAGCTTCAAAATTATTCTTGCCTACTAGTAAGATAGATCAAATCATGTAGATGACAGTCCAAAGTGAATCCGAAGGTGTCATACAAAGCCAGGTCTCTGTACAGTTGCCTTCTCACCTCTTATACTCTGCATCTTTAAATGAGGGGAGGAGCTATATCTGTGTGAGGTGAACTGGAGACTTTAATTCCCATCAGTACAGAAAGCTATACCTGGCACATACCTTTACTTTTGTCCATGCTACCCTCTGCCCTTTCTTCTACAGTTATTCTGTAGAAGTTGCCAGCACTTCCAGCTGGATCAGGTCAGTCAAGTTACAAATGCCATGTGAAAACAATGACCCTGGTACCTTTCATTAGGTAGGCTTTGGAAGTTTGCTTTCAAAGATGTTGGTTCCTTAAGGCACCAAGCAAGAAGCAGAAGTCCTCTAACAACAACTGCTCTAAATATAGGAAAAGGAGCAGAACAAATCTCCAAACATCCTCTGGAGCCCTATCCTTGGCATGGAGGTCTTGGCAAGACAAAGGTGGCCACCATGCATTTCCCATTTTAACCTTAGCTTTTTTGAAGGGGTGGCTTGGCTAGAAAGTGGGGCCTGACATCTCAAGATCCTCACCTGGCCCTTGGAAGGAGTGTTGAAACTGCCAACCAATTCCTCAGATGTCAACAATCAAACATCTGACACAAGCAAATGTAAATTGCTGATTACCTGACTGGATTCTCCCCAGTGTACTGGAGATAAAGGAGTGTCTCTTATTAGCAGTTCTCGGAACTATTCTGTTTCTCTCTCTCTACTAAGTCATTCCCTTTATCAGTTGTTTTGTTCTGTGGCTTCTAGAATTGGGACTGAACAGCTTCTTTTGACTCAAGAATTCTTTGAATTAGTATTTCAGTATATATCCGTAATTATTCTGGTACTTCAGTATTCCTGTCATAGCAGTGATTTTTTTTTTCTTTTTTTTTTTTTCTTTTGTTCTGCAGAGCTTTGCTTTATTAGCAAGGGAAAAGATGGCTGTGAAAACAGCTTTGCAGCATAATGCAAAGCTGTAGTTCCGTCCTTGTTGCTTGAATCCACAGTATGCAGAACAGAAAGCCTGTTGGCTTCTGTGGTTTAAATAACATGATTTAATAAAGAAGAACACTGTAAGCAATAAGTTGATGGGGCAGAACGCTTCTTTAAGTAGTGATAAAACAGTCTGAGCTAGGATATTTAAAGCATCTTCACAATGTACGTCTCGTGTGGAGGGGTGTGAGCTAGGTGATGTTGTAAGGATTTTTTTGGAGCTCAGTTCAGGATGTCTAAGCAGTTCTAAGCAGTCTTTGTCACCTTAGGGTACCCATAAAAGCCTGAAAGGGAATGCAAGAGCCTTGTCCACGGTGACAGCGATCATCGACGGAACAGGATCTGTAGGTAAGCCAGAGCTGTAAGGTAGCCTGCCTTAGCTGTGGTAGGCTGAAACAAAGGATCTTTGAGAAACCAGGCTCTCTCCAGTTCACATTTTGCCGGGACTCAGTACAACTTTGGAAATGGGGAGTAGAGCAAACTTAACCTTAAACCTCTCTAGTGTTCCCATACCTGAGGGAAGGAGGAAGGAAGAGGGTGGTACACTGATAGTGGGCACAGATGGCAAAAGTAGGTGCTGTTGATCTGTTTCTGAGATCAGGGTTATTTTGTTCATGCCCTCTACACCATTATGTGGAAGGGAAAATTGAGTAGGATTCAGTTTAATACTGGATGGGCATTTTGTTGAGCCAAAGGCAGGCATTTCTCAAATTTCTAGTCTTCCAGCTTCCTCTGTGTTAGATTTCCCATTGGCTTGCACTGTACTAGTAATATTTTGCACTTCCTGGGACCTTTTAATACATAAGGTAATACTGATTTAACTAGGTGGAGAAATTGTTATTCTGACTCAGAATAACTCTTTCAGCATAGTAAATCTTACATTGTATCATTCTGACAATATCAATATTATATTTTAGGTGCAGCTTTGGGGCCTCTCTTAGCTGGTCTTATTTCCCCATCTGGTTGGAACAACGTGTTTTACATGCTCATGGTGGCAGATGCATGTGCCTTGCTAGTAAGTCTAAAAATACTATTGAGTTTCTGAGTATTTCCTTTATGCTAAACTATCTTAAAATGCAAATTTTCCTTTTGCAATTTCAATACTCCATCTTATAAGAAACTTCCAATTGTGTAGGAAATTTTCAATTAAAGAGCAAATTTGCTCATTTTGAAATTCTCATATAATTTTATTCAGAAGTGCAGATTAGTTCCGATGCACTTCAATTCCTGAGCAAATGCGCATCTGTTAATTGCTGGCTGAGCAGATTACAGCAGGCATAATTGTACATAAGCCTTCACATATAGACCTAGAAGATGCCTCAGATTCCACTCATGGAAGAATTACTTCTGTTTTCTTTAAAGCCAGTTTAGCGAAGCGGTAACAAATGATTTGCTGCGTTGCTGTATCACCAAAATCACTGTGATAATGAGGCTCTTGAAAGTTAATACATCGCATTCTCCAGATGGGCCCTAAAACTGCTGTACTAGGTTAGGCAAAAAACTGGCATCCTAACTTTTGACAGCAACCAGGAGCAGATGTTTAGGGAAAATGAGTGCAGCACACATGTGATGGCTTGATACAAAGCACATCCATTTTCCTTTTTCCTCCTGTCTGAGATCCTGCATGATCGGTAGGAAGATATGAAAAGGTGTTTTTTTTCCACTTCTGTCTTGCTCTGCTTTTTGCCTTTAAAGACCAAAGAAGACACAAGATGAGGCAAGGTGAGTCTTGCTGTACTTTTGAAGTCAGTCTTGCTGCACCCACCTGTAGGTGAGCCTGTAGGTTGTGGTTTTGCCTTTGCCACAGATTTCCCTGATAGGCACCTGCACCAGCTTTGTTCTCCAGCAGAGCAGAATGCTGCTATGACTACCTCAGAGATGTCCTGGTGTCACCTGCTTGTCTTCTCCTTTCTTGTCTCCTCTCTTGTCCTGGGTGGAAGTGCTCATGAAAGGGCAGGGTGACCACTCCCATACCTCTGAAATGTTAGGTTTAATTCTTAAAACACCAATACTTATAATAGTAAAGAAACTTCCATTTATAGCAGTGAGACTCTGAAGATAAGGAAACGTGTAAAAGTGAGGAACCCTGAAAGTTCTAATTCTGTCTTTAATGTACATGGGAATCATCAAATTTTATTTGTAAAATCACTTTCATGGTTCCTCTCAGTACATCTTTTACAGTGCACTTGAAAGTCCTGCCCCTGCACAGGCAAGTAAACATGACTGACTTTACTATTCTTGACTAATTGTGTGATTAAAGCTTTTCGCACACACAGCTGTTTTTCAGAATAGCAGCTAAAATACTTCTATGCTTCAAATTGCCTATCTGCCGTGTTCCTTGAGGTCTTGGGTTCCCTCTGCTGGTTTTTTTACATATCTGCTGGTAAAGTAACTTCAGAAAGCTATTCTGTTTTTTACAAATCAATTGATCTCTCAGTTGTGAAAAGGAAATTATCTTCCTCTTGCATATTCATTGTGAAAACTCCTCTTCCAAATGTTGACTGAGCATCTTTAAATCTTTTAATTTTTATTTTTTTTAATCTGAGTTCAACATTACAGGGTAATGTTTAGAAGGAGGAACTCTTCGAATAACAGTGAATATCTTATCCTGAAACTTATCTTATTTGTATATCTGTATAGATACTAACATGGATACTGTGACTGTTTTTACAGTTTTTACTCCGTCTTATTCAGAAGGAACTTCGGTGTAATGCAGATCATAGCCTGTAAGTGTTATGCATGGCTGTTGCTCTTTAATAACATTTTAAAAACACCTTACTAAGCCTTTGCCCCATAATACCTAGATGTGGACAGTCTCTTGGATATGGTTTGGTTTTTCCCAAATCTGTAATCCTCCTGGGTTTCATCATGGAGCATGCAGGTGGGGAATAAGAAGCTACTTGGTTGCTTGCTCTGTGTTTATTAATAGTTTCAAATGTAACTTTTTCTAAAAGGTCTCTTTAGAGGAAAGGTTGTCTCTGAATTTACAATGCTTAGAATTGAGAAAAAAAAATAACTCACTGGATCAATGGGGTTACACTGGCATATGCAAAATCTAAATCGAGCCCCTTGGTTGTAGTTTTGGAGAAGTAAAATGGACAGAGAATTGAAAAATGCATGGCAAGGGGGGGGATCCTGCATTTTGAAGTTAGTGACTGTTACGCCTCACACCTCAACTTTTCCTGCCTGGTTGCTGTTCTTTCCCAGGTTTAAAGAACACTAAGCAACAAGACCAGATTTGGAATAAGGGCTGCATCAGTGATCAAAGCTTTTCCCTGAAAAACAAACTTCATGGAATATATTACTCTTAAATATAGAGATTCAGTTTGGTGAAGAACTTTGCACATTTACTGGAAGCAACGTGAGAAGTGCAACTGGTAAATCCCTGAAGCTCTTATTTTTGCACATGAATAAGTACCTCAGGATTGCAACTATTCATCAGATGAAGAGAAAAGAACTGTGGGAAGGTTTTAGCAGCATGCCTCAACTGAGCCAAAGAGAAATACCAAGTGCCTTTTTATTTCTTTTGATAGGATGTTTCTAATTAAAATGCCGAACTGTGTGCTTTCCAAAACCAAGTCAAAACCAGAGCAGAAGGAAGTCAAAACAACATAGCAGTGAAATATCCCAGTGTCAGTGAGCAAAGTGTATGTGTCCCTTAGGTCATCTTGTGCACATCAAGGGCGTCACTGCATAGAGGACAATACCAGCTGTTTATTAAGATGCACTGCTATTAGTATTTTGAAACTGCTCAGACAATAACAACCTCACCATATTATTAGGTTTTAACTACAGTACTACTTCTAATCCCAGCGACAACATCCAGCCTGTTGGTAGGTAATGAAGTGGAATTTACTGTTGCAGTGTACTGCAGTTAGCAGTTTTCACAGACTCTCTGGATGGATGTTAGTCCTCAATTAGGATAGTGCAAAAAGGAGTCCCTAAACAATGAAAAGTAGATTGCGTCAGACCGGGGGGGGGGGGGTGGGTTCTGGTGATTTTCAGGGCATTATAAAACTGGTTGTGCAAACGCCGCATAATTGTGCTGCTCTGCTAGGCTGGGTTGAAGTGAGAGGTGGTCCCTTTGGGGTGGCAGAGAACTGTGAGCTGACACACTTTAGCGCAACGGGATTGAACAGACGAGCTGCTCTAGCGCCTGCTGCCACAGCAATCTCTGTTGGGTATTCCCTGATGTCAGTGCTGGTGTGTGCAAGTGGAAGTCATGGTCAAATCAGGGCCTTAATAACCAGAGAGCTCTTTCAAGTGGCTAATTTTAAGTGGATCTGAATTTCAGATTTGGAACAAAAATATCAGAAAGCAAAAATGTCGTAGGTGGTATGTTGTTGGTACATTTCAGTAACTAGTGTTACCCAGCAAGTAGATGGTTTAATGTCTTCATATAATTTCTTTGTACAGCTATCTCCTTTGCAAAACAGATGTTTCCGTAATTCTTTTTTTGAAAGATGTACAAAGTAAAAAGGACTTTTTTTTGTATGAGGTGTTTATATTTAGATCACAAAGGACAGATAATTTAAACTGCGTATTATTTTTAACGGTATTTATTAAAGCTCTAGGCATATGTCTTGTTCTGAACTGTACTCTAAGTTTTGTGAAACATTGCAGTAGTCTTTACACTTGATTAACAAAATCTAAAATAGTCCTGCAGAACGTGGAGAAATGTCTCATCAGCTGCTGGTGTTGTGTTCCATGTGCTGGCACAACACTGAATTTCCAGGGCTGTTTTGCAGTTGTTCAGTCTTTGATGAATTATTTCACTGGTTTGAGTCAACATGTGCTTTATGCTTGACTTGAGCAGTATAAGAATGTGTTCATTTTTAACTTTTGCTAAACAGAGATATAGGGAAGACCTCAGTCCCACAAAGACTTAAGGAAGGTACCACATCCTTGCAAATGTGTATGCTCTACGTAGGCCCTCACCCTGCAGTTACCAAGTTGAAGGGTTAACTTCACACGTTTTGAGTAAACCTGTTGAGACCGGTGGGGATACCCAACATGTGAATTCATAAATCTGTGCTGCGTATGGGCTTTAAAGGCTGTAGTTAATTGTGGCAGAATTCTGCAGCAATGTTACTTGAAAAGACTTCCCTCCTGGTGGCGTGGCACGCTGCCCCTCGCTCAGCCAGGCTGCCCTGGGGGGCTGTTAGCCAGACCAGGGGACTCACCTAGCCCCTCGGGGGAAAAATCACACTTCGACCCCAAAGCAGCTGTCCTGGCACAACTTCAGTGGCTGTGTGAGGAGGGAGGGATGGAGGACTTCTTTAGTTGAAGATGCCAGTCCTTTCCACTAATAAAGGTATGTTGAGCCATATACTAGTTTATCGAAACGATTTATACTCTGCTGCACCCGGATTTTGAGAGGCTGTTCCCTGTGGGCTGAAGTGTTAGGTTAAAATGCTTTCAGTTGCATTTAACAGTTACAGGTTTTGGGTTTTACATGTTTTACTTGTTGGGGCTGCTGCTGTTATTTATTTATTTATTTGAATAGCATTTGCACTGCAGTGACTCGGGTGTAGGATGACAACAACGTTGAAGGTGCTGGGCTGAATCCTTCCTTCCATTGACTGTAGGCAGGAATTAGGACTCTGTGTGCTGATGTCCCCTTCCTTGCTAATGTGCAGCATTTCAGTTCTTCCCAGCTACAAATTTGTTGGACAGAAAGATAAAATACTTGGTTTTCTTTCTTAACAACCCTAAAGGTCCCCCAAGTTGTGAATAAACTGTGTTTTTTTTCGTATCCGGTGTCCATATCCATTAATCTGAAAATGAGCAAGACTGACAAATTTTTGTATGTAGGAATGTGAGTCACCAGTAGGTAGAGCCAAATTTAAATATGACTGCAGGGTTTGTTTGTTTTTTAATGCTGGTTATTGTGAATTTTATCCATTTACTGTCCTGTGTTGAATAAAAATAAATTCTTCTTTAAGATGAGAAATGTTGATTACTTCATCTTTTACATCTCCATGAAGAATTCTTCCATTTATTGGTTGTAAGGATAGACATCCCTGCTGGGACAGCGCTCCTGTTTCCTGTGAGGGTAACAAAAACATAGTTCATTAGGAGAACAAATTAGAACCTTTTGTTTTGAAAGCAATGCCCTTCTCTACTTGAACATGTAATTTTTTTTTCATATTGTGGGTTGTACAACATCAGTATTTCCATTTAGCTGCATCAGACGGGTATATTCTGCTTACGTATTTTAGTCAAGTGGGGAAGGAGGAGATTTATGAGAGTCGGGGACTGAGTCCATCTCCTACAGCATAGTTTTAAGGTGACTTTTTTTTTGCTGTCTGCTTTTCTTTCTCTTCAATTTATATGGAATTGAAATTGAAAAGCTTCATCTTTTCTCTCTACCCCTAATCATCTTAGACATTTATTGTCTTGATTCTGTTATGATGTTTGATAGGGTTTGTGTGCCTCTACCAGAGATACAATGCCCAAACAACAGATGCGCTGGGGAAGAGCTGCTGGGGAAGGAAAACAATTTCTGATTAGAAGAAGGTGTCTGAGGGTCTTGGACAGAATTTCTAATCAAAATGTGCCCAAATTTCCTCCCAGGAATGGGCAAATAATAGGTTGGGCATCTTATAAAAGAAGGGAGACTCGGATCCAAGTTGCTGTTCTGCCCAGTTGGGAGCAGGAGCCTCCAGCAGCACCTCACAAGCCTCCGGCTGTTGCTGGGCACGCTGCAGTGGAGGTTTGTCTCCATTGCACAAAGGAAGAGTCTATAGGGTGGGGAAAAAGATGAATAGGTAGCAGAGAAGGTGATGTCATGTTCACAGGTCTTTTTGAGACTTCTTTTGCCTGTAAATTAAGCTGCTGGCCTGCTCCATGCACTAAGATAAAACTACTCCTGCATGTCTTGCCAGTTAGGAAATTCCAGAAGGGATTCTGCCATCTGCTTTGGGTGGTTATTGCATGTGTTTGTGCCCATGTCACACTGGCCTCAATGTTTGTGCTTGGGAATCTGTTCAGTTGCTGCTGGTAGGTTTCTCCAAGTGACTGATGTGTGAGTTTGTTTATATGAGAAGTGCTGCTCAAAATTAGGTAGGTGTGAGGTGTTATAAATGAAATCAGAGGAGGTTTGGGGCTGTTGGAGGCTACTGGTCTTCATGTAGAATCAGTTTGAGGAAGATTGTTTACAATCCCATCAAGTGATGAGGCCCAGAATTGGTAACGGTGGTGTTCTCTGGTCTGAATGAAATTTTATGGCCTGCAAATTATATAGGAGGTTAGATTATATTATTTCATGATTTGTCCTAACATCAGAGTTTATCTGGTACAACGTTCCAATTGCTGACCTGCGTCACCTTCACCTTACAGCAAGCCTGGTTTGGTTTTGTTTTGCTCTCTGCTAAACTAGCCGCACGATGGTACGGGCTCTTCCTCCTGCCCTCCCCTCGCAGCCGGCCGTGCTGGCGGAGGGACTGTAGAGAGCTGGCTGGGAGGTTTGTGTCTGCGTGATCTGGGGCCTTGGTAACCTTGAGCTACGTTTTCTGCCATGCTGAGTTAAAAATCTGTCATCCTTAAAGCTGGGGGGAGGGAAGGAGAGGATTTAACTGCTGGTGTGCTTCAGCCTCGCATCCAGTGACCTTAACGTTGTGTTATGTGTCTTGCTGTCTCAGAGTTTATTAAACTCGATTGCTATAAAATGTTGGTTGTTCCCTGCTTTGTCTCCCTCCTTTTGGTTAGTTTCCAGTTTGGAGTAAGGAGAGAATTAGTTAACAGCAGCAGCTGATGGTGGGGGTTTATTTTTAATCTTTTCTCTGTATTTCTCTCTTGATGAAGTAAACCACTTACCCTTCTGCTGCAGTGAAACCTTCGCAGCTCTGTAAACTGTGAATACAAGAGCCAAACTTTCTTTAGGCATATTTCAGGGAACCTGCTCATCTCCTGCATCAGAAGATTATCTGTCAAAAATGTGTTGAAAGTCTCTTTTGATGGTGTACTTACCTAGAGGATTATAAGGATGCTTTGTTGTTTTTTTCACCTCGTAATGATACTGGGGGTAGGGCTACGCTCCCTCCTTCTCTTATAAAAGCAGCTGACAAATACTTGGCCACATTTCCTCAGTAGTCCCTTTGGTCCAGTTGTTTGTTTCAGGCAGAAGAGGACACTAACTGACTTCATGGAAGTATAAACGTTGGAATGCTGTTAAAAGGCTGACGCACCTGGTAATGTGTCTCACTTAGATGGGACTGCAAAAACATTTCCTTCCTAGTGGTTGATTACAGTCTTCACTCCAGGCTTTTCCAGTCATTCCGAAATGGAAGACAATTAAGAACTCTTTTCATGAATGTTTTACACTGCAACTTCACATCTTAAGGGACTGTCTTTCTAGTTGAGAATCAATATATGTATTCAGTGCCATACAATAAGGGTATGTACACAAATCCATGGAATATCCTTTCTTGTGGCTGTTAAATAACTATCCAGATGTAAATAAGTACAAAATGAGTGTTTTTTTTTGTTTTTTTTTTTTTTTTTCCCTAGAGAAGTATATCTATATGGCAGTGAGGTTATAAATTAAAAAAAGGTAAAGGGAAGTGCGCATTAGCATAAGTCAGAAGAAGGCTGCATTCAAGAGCTTGAACAGATTTCATCTAAAAAAGAACAAGGGCCTTTGTGTATGAAAATTTGGCGACAGATCAAAAAAGGGAAATGCAAAGACAGAAAGCTGGTTCAGTTTTGGAAATGAAAGAGGACATCGAGTGATGACGCATAATTAAAATGCAGGGTGTAAATGGGGTGCTATAGAAATGTGAGTGTGAGATGGGGTAATGGTAAAAATGCAGAAGAAGCAAAGAACAACAAGACTGGAAAACTGCAGAGAGGTGCAAATCTGGTGTTGGGATTAAAAAAAAAAAGGGGAAGAGCCACCTCACCCCAGAGGTACTGTGTGCTGAGCAGCGCTTGCGGGTGGGAACGAGGAGGCTGCTCTGCCCCTCTGCCTCTGCCGGGCACCGGGCTTGGCCTTGGGAGAGCCTGGGAGCCCCAAGGGACGTGTCCCCAGGGGAGTGGGCTGCCGTGGCTGGGCTGGAGCTGATCAGCTGCTGGGTCTCTCCCAACATAGCACCTGGGCCTACGTAACCTGTGAGATACCTGGGTGCTTTAGCCTGAGCAACCTTCTGATTTTTCAACTGCCAGTGAGCTCGTTTCAAGTTTGTCGTTTTTGTCCTCACATCTGTAATTTTTATTTTTATGACTTTTTTTTTTTCTCTCCAGGAACCAGTTGGTTGCTGTGCTTGTAAGAAAAGCTGGTGAGGGTTGGGTGGGTGTCCTGTCCGGTTTCAGCATTCCAGCAACTGAGGGCTTCTGCGGGTCCCTGTGGAGCTGTCGCAGGACTTGCCTCTAGTAGCGTTCAGCTGATTTTTCAGTTTTTGGCGTCAGCGTGCTCCTTTGCTCGTGTGATGGCAGGTTGGACCCAGGGTTGGATGAGCAGCTAGTCAAAAACCCGAGTGGGGCTGAAATTCTGGATGTCCTTTCCAGGCAAGGTGGAGACCTGTTCGTGTGGAGGCTGCTTTGAATTACTTCCATCATCTTCACATTACTGCAGTTACTTGAATCTGGGCCTGGGGCTAGAGGCAGTGCTTCAGAAATTAACATCTTAGAACCTGAATTACTCTGATAATTGCATTTATCTACCATCATACTAACTGATTCTCCGCTCCAATCACGTTTTAGAGTGTGTTTTTAAACATACAACAGAAAAATATGAACTAAAACTTACTTCTCCTTTTTCCTCACTCCTACAGGTCACTTTCTTGCAGAAACCTGGCCCTGAGCTTGTAAGGTTTCTCCCAATATTGCAGGATACAGATTTTGTATTTGTTAGAAAATTGGCTTTTTGTGGCCTGTCATCTATGACTGAGTAAATTTTTTTTTCTGTTTGTTACATATAGAGATTGACAGAAGACAAAACCTTGGCAAGGTGTTGTTGGATAGATGAACTGCGGCAGACAGGGTGAGGTAGGTTGTGTAACCTTTCCCAGCTGTGAGTACTTCTGCAGTTGTGCTCAGGCTGCAGCGAAGGTGTGATCCCTTCCAGCCTTTATGCCTAGGAACAGATTCTCCTTTCGCTTCTGTAGCTCAGGAGCAAGTGTTTGGAGAATCCAAAAAATTTAAGTCCTGGCCATCTTGGGCACTGAAGTTCTTTTTAGTTTATCTGGTACCTAAATCCTTAACAGGTGGCCTGAATTTCAGAGGTTATTCAGAAACCAGCAGCAGCTTCTTGTGTTGAGAACAGAACTCAAAGCAGCAGCCTGAGTACATATGCTAAATCAAGAGGAATACAGACATGTATATATATATATATATTTATATATATACACACACGCACATAAGTTGCAGCATGAATTGGGATCAAGCTGAAAGGGCTGGATTTCACTGCCCAATAGGTACAGGGAGTATAGCACAAAAGCAACAAAATGATTGATAATTTCTGAGTTCTTATCTTCTCTTTTTTTTGTGTGATACAAAGCAACCCATCATAGCTGAGTGATGTCCAGGCAAAACTTTTGGAATGAGTGGTTTTTTTCTGAATCTTCTGTCAAACACAGTGATGTTTCTGCTGCAGAGGATGGAGTATTATATTTGAGTCTTAGTCACCCAATTTCACCACAGGCCACATGAGACTTCAGCTTAATGAGTACAGCAGGTTATGAATCTATTCTTAAATTGCTCTGATCATCTGGTAGGAAACAGCTGAATGTTGCATTGTTCTGTGGCAGAATCTGCAGTCTTAGTTTTATACGGATAGGTGTAACAACAGGATTCAATTTAGCCATCCCTGTTAGAAATCTGTGTAAAGCTTCCTTCCCCTCTTCCTCTGGCTACAGCTTTCCAGTTACATGAAAGGAAGAAAGCATGTTAACGAAGAACAGAAGAGGTCACAAAAATGTATCAAAAGCATATTATCTCTCCCAAATAGA